AAAGATTATAAAAGTTGTAGAAATAAGCAGCAGCCAGTAACCTTAGGTCTAAGGTTAGAGCATCCATAGAAGAACTGCCCATTCTCCCATCTCAACCCCAGAATTAAAATCTAGACCGTAATGAAAAGGGTTCTGTGAATGGCAGAGCAATTGGCCAGGAAACCTGCTATAATCTGTCCAGTAGAATATCTGATAAAGCTGTTCACCTGGTATCCAGATGTCACTGTGCTATAAAACCTCTGAAGTTAGAGCTCACTTGTACTTTAGAATCTCTCTGCCGGAACTGGTACTGCAACAGTCTGCTGAATAAGCACTCTGGAACAAGAAGCAAAAGTCTAATGCCTGAGGAGGCAATAAATGGATAACCACAGCAGTGTTCTATAGTTGTTCCTACTAACCAGCCAATATTCCCTTCCAGAACAAAGCTCTCCTCACAGATGACAGAACTATTTGAAATAGAATCTACATTGAACTACAGAGACACTAGAGAAAAGGGAAAAAGAGGGTTCACATTTCAGTGGGGGGGGGTGGGGTGAATGGAGCCAGGCAGGACATCAAAGAAAGTAAGCCCCATGTTTTTTAACACTATGGAGACAACAGGAGATATAAAACATGATGTCAGAAAATTATTCGCAATAATTAATCACATAAAAATAAAGGACCCAAGAGATAAGGAGCAGCGTAACATCCCTACAGACAAATATAAAGTGTATCTATAATATATCCTCAAGACAGAATAAAACCATAACCTATTATTTTAAAATTTCAGAGATATTAATAAGAGCAACATAATAGGGATTCTTCCCCTCCAACAAAAAGAAAACCAAAACAAGAACAGCTTTAATGATAATGTATGGCAAAAATAATTTAATGAAGATACAAATTGAAAGGATAGCCAAAGCAGCCGACACCTAGATATTTTGTGAAATACTAGACTTAGGTGAAAAAGAAGAAAAAATTCTTTGGGTACCCTGACATAAAGACCAAGTGATTATTAAGAAATTCAGATACTAACTTTGACAACAAAGGTTTATAACAGAAGTCAATAAAGTGACAGAGTACTCAAGAGAAAGAAAAATGTAGGCTCAGGACTTTGTACTTTGTAAAACTTACTCCCACTTATAAAGGTCACAGGCCTATATCAATGTGTGTAAGAACTCAGAATATTTTTTCAAAGACTTTCTCTGAGCAAAGTACTAGACAGCAAGCTTCAGATAACCAAACTAACTGGAAAAATAAAAACAGTGGTATTAAACATTGAAGATATGGTTAATTATAGAGCTAAGATTCTATGAGAGTTAAAAGAGTGTAGCACGTGAGATCTTAGGGCTCTTGACAGTCTAAATACTGCATTTTTAAAAAAAGATCTATACAAGAACTGGGGTACAGGCCAGAGGCACGGGAGGGTGAGAATTCATCAGAGAGAGAGCTGGGAGCAGAATAAGCAGATGGACCGAAAACACTGCTGAGGGGAGCAGCGGGCAGGACAGGAGAGGTCTGCCATGCTATGTGGGTATCTCCCCGGCCGACTGGGAATCGAACCCACGCTACAGAGGCTGCAGACACCTTCATAGTGCTGCATTCACCTGCTGCGCCACCAGGGAGGCCCTGTACCCTAGTTCTTGTATGCACCAAAGACAGAGTGGGGAACAACGGAACACGCAGACTGACTGAAATACACTGCTGAGGCCATAAGCATTAATGTCTGCCAACATCGCAAAAAGAAGTAACCACCAAATGTTAGGTGTCTCCTAATAGAGGAACCCCAAACCACCAAGAAATTACCTTGCCAGAATAAAAAAAGGTGGGGAGGGTTTATAACCTCTGGAATCAGCTACGAGTTTGTGGGAAATAGAGAGATCACAAGATTTTTAAATAACTTAAAGATTAAGAAAGTTCAGAGATGATTTTTGGAGACAAAGTAAACTAATTTTGAGGTACACATTTTGGTGGTTAAAGAAAAGCAGAGATGATCACCACATCAGGATACTGGTTATTTTTATTTATTTTTTAAAGATTTATTTATTTAGGTGCGGCAGGCCTCTCCTGTCGCACCCGCTGCTCCCCTCAGCAGTGTATTTCTGTCATCTGCCTGTTCTGCTGCCTTCTCTGACTGGTGAATCCTCTCACCCTCCCATGCCTCTGGCCTGTACCCCAGCTCTTGTATAAAAATAAATCTTGGGCCTCCCCTGGTGGTACAGCTGTTGAGTGCTGGGCTGCGAGGCTGCCCACAGCCTCTGCAGCGCCGGTTCGTTCCCCGGCCACCAGGCGAGGGTCCCAAATGGCGCGCAGACCTCTCCTGCCGCCCGCTGCTCCCCTCAGCAGTGTACTTAGTCACTCTGCCTGCTCTGCTCCCTGCTCTCTCTCTGGTGAATTCTCTCACCCACCCGCGCTTCTGACTGTACCCAGTGCTTGTATAAATAAATAAGTAAATATTAAAAAAAGAAAAAGATTTATTAAAATAAAAATAAATAAATAAAAATAAATCTTAAGGGCCTCCCCCTAGTGGTACAGGCGGTTGAGCGCCGCACTGTGAAGCCTCTGCAGCACCAACTTTGATCCCAGCTGGCCGGCGAGGGTCCTGCATGGCTCAGCAGACCTCTCCTGTCTCACCCGCTGCTCCCCTCAGCAGTGTGTTTCATCAGTCTGCCTGTTCTGTTCCCCCTCTGTCTCTGGTGAATCCTCCCTCCCATGCATCTGGCCTGTACCCTGGTTCTTGTATAAATAAATAAATAAATAAAATCTTTAAGAAAATAAAAATAAATCTTAAAAAAAAGATTTATTGGGCCTCCCGGATGGCGCAGCGGTTGAGCGCTGGGTTGCGAAGCTGCCCGCGGCCTCTGCGGCGCCGGTTCGATTCCCGGCTGCTCCCCGGCCACCGAGGAGGGTCCCACATGGTGCGCAGACCTCTCCTGCCACCCGCTGCTCCCCTCAGCAGTGTACTTCGGTCCTTCTGCCTGCTCTGCTCCCCGCTCTGGCTCTGGTGAATCCTCTCACCCTCTCGCGCTTCTGACTGTACCCCGTGCTTGTATAAATAAATAAATAAATAAATCTTTAAAAAAAAAAAAAGATTTATTTGTGCAAGAACCAGGGTATAGGTCAGATGTGCAGGGGGGTGAGAGAATTCACCAAAGACAGTGGGGAACAACAGAACAGGCAGACTGACTGAAATACGCTGCTGAGGGGAGCAGTGGGCCAGTGAGGATAGGTCTGCTGCGCCATGTGGGTATTTCCATGGCTGGCGGGAATCAAACCAGCACTGCAGAGGCTGCGGACAGCTTCACAGCACTGTGCTCAACTGCCTGCGCCACCAGGGAGGCCCCACTGGTGATTTTCAGAGGGGAGGAATTTTTTTTTTTAAATGAAGTTTATGTTTCTGGTTTGTCCACTGATTTTCTGTTTAGCTAAGTGGTGATTGCAAGAACTTTTACCCATTTGTTTTATGTACTTTCCTGTATCTGTGTTAAAGTTTCTAAAAATCAGTGGAGAGAGACTGCAGCTATCCCACAGGTAGGGTAGTATATCTGAAAGCCCTAGGTGGAATAAGAACCCAGGCCTATTAAACAAGAAAGCAACCAGAGCTGCTGCTGATACTAGTCCATCCTCAGGAGTGTATTTATCTGCCATTCATATTCTGTCACTGGTTTGTACATCTGTATAGTGAGTTGGTAGTTCAGTTTGTATCTACTTATTTTATACTATTGGTTCTACCCTGACAGTTTGAATATAGTGCCTTCTGTGACTCCACATCTGAAAATTTAATTCAGAAACTTCTGTAGTGGAGCTTGGGTATCTTTTTATTTAATGTTACAGAGGCAATTGTGCCAAAAAGCCATTTTTCCTACTTAACAGATTATAAAATTTGGACTAGGACACCAGTGTTACCCTCATAGCCCCAAACAATTAATTAGTAGGTACAATTAATTGCTATTTAAATTTCTCCATTCTTTCCTTCATCTCTTTTTATACTCTTGTTGTCTTTATTACTCTCCTGAAGTATTGAATTGGTCTTTTAATGTTCTTAGTTGATATTTAAACTCCTTTATGTACCGCTACCATACTATTGTAACGTTTGGATCATAACTTTGTGCATGAGACACAGATCCCCACTACCTACAAAATAAAATTCAGTCTCCCTTAAAAATACCCCACAAGTCTGCTTCTTGCTTATTACTTTTGTAGACATCTCTTACCCTGAGAAAGGGCCACCTCCTTCCACTAGTACTAATCATGCCAAACCATTTGCAGGTCTCTGAATATTCCTTCTGATGCTTTCCTGTCTCGGTATTCACTGAACACTTGAGTTCTTGAAATCACCCTTTTTCCTGCTTTGGGATTCATCTTTAAGCATTCTTCTTAGTCATCACCTCTAGTGAAACCTTTCCTAATAGCACTTCTCTTTAAAGTAGAATTGACCATTCTTTGTGTACTCCTCCTTCTCTAGTGTAAATTTTTATCATAGCATCTCTTAACTTTATTGTACTCGTTTTCCTACAAATCTATTTTTATAGTATGACTATGACTCCTGTGTGGACAAGGGCTTTTCTTTTGTCTTAATTGCCTTTGGATTCTTCACAGTCTGCCTTTGCCCTAAAAGCAGTTGTAAAAATGTTAGGAATATTACGCATTTCATTGACTAGATTGTCTCCTTAATTCTGAAGTAAAGTGATCTACAATCTTGTTCATTCAGCTTTCTGTGCCCCATAGCTGGCATATATATCCTAGAGGAAGATGAGATACTTGTCCATTTTATCTGTTTTATTTTAAAAATAACAATAATAATCTTTTATATAAAGGAAAGACAACCCAAGATTAATGTAAGACATTGATTTTGCATTTCAACATCTTTTGTTTATTTGTTAATTCTGAACACAGCATTAAATAAGAGCTGCTGATACATAATTACTTTTGGTAGATTCCGTGGTGATGGCAACTTTGCAAAAAGTGCCAAAGTGATTAGCTTTCTGTATCAACCATTAATATCCCTTTTTTTTCCCTAGCCTTCTTTGAATCCAGAAGCTGGCAAACAGAATCAGCCATGCAGACCTATTGGGACCCCTTCTGGAGTGTGGGGTAGGTAGATTTTGCCATTTTTAAGGCACAACTTTAAATTTTTCTTAGCAGGGAGAAGAGCAAAAATTCTTCTAGCTCTTGTTTGTTTCTTTACCTCTTGTTTCTCTTCTCATCCATTTGCACATGGTAACTAACACCTATTAGCTCCTTTACTGTGGCCCCCCACTAAAATATCATTGAAATGTTTTGGTAGTGGTGTCAGAATACAGATTATTGAGAATTTATGGAGTGCTGAATTTGGAAGAATAAGCAAAGGGAGAATAGTATAAAGCACATGAGTAATTTTTAATTAACAGTGCTAATTTGTTTATTAACAGTGATGTTGACCTTTATGTGTTACGTTGTCCCTAAATACTTGATTGCATATATAACAATATATTCTAAGCATTCTTCCATATTACTAAATACTCTTTTAAAGTGTCCTTTGAAAGGCTATATAATATATATATAACAGTCCGGTTCCAGTTGTTGAGCTTTTTATTTGGGGATTTTGTTACCGGTTTTTTGTGGTGGTGTTTTTTTTTTGTTTGTTTGTTTGTTTGTTTGTTTTTGGCATTATAAATAATGCTTGTTTTATAGGGACAGGAGAAAACATATACACAAGTTTATATGTTGAGAATAACTGGTTTTATAAAAATTAATAGAGACTAATCATTGTATTTCAGACTGTACCTGATCTGTGGCTTTGGGATCTTTAGCAGTTATAATTTGGACTCCCCTAGCGCGTACATTATTAATAGACATGTTTAATAGTTAGGCATCTTAATGGGAAGGTTTTGGTATATGTAAAGACTTGATTTGAATCTTGGTTTGAATTAAGAGTGATTGTGGGGCCTCCCCGGTGGCGCAGCGGTTGAGCGATGGGTTGCGAAGCCTCTGCAGCGCCAGTTCAATCCCCGGCTGCTCCCAGGCCACCGGAGGAGGGTCCCACATGGCGCGCAGACCTCTCCTGCGGCTGCTCCCCTCAGCAGTGTACCTCGGTCCTTCTGCCTGCTCTGCTCCCTGCTCTGGTTCTGGTGAATTCTCTCACCCTCCCGCGCTTCTCTCTGCACCCAGTGCTTGTATAAATAAATAAATAAATAAATAAATAAATAGTCAAAATAAATAATTTAAAAAAAAAGAGTGATTGTGGTACCATTTTCCTTTTTTTTCTTTTTTTTCTTTTTTTTTCATTTTCCCTTTGTTAATGGTGTGTAATTTTGCTCTACTTTGCCTTATGAGATAGAAGGTCCCACGGCAGACTCCTTTCCCCAATTTCTTTATCCCTCTCCATTCCCATGCTGACGGGAGCTGCTGCCCTTAAATAAATTCTTGTCTGCCTGTGCTTTAGGAAGCACAGCATACAGTAGACATGTTATATTCCTGAAAGATGAGCATCTTGGGTTTTCTGCTTGAGAGGAGTTTAGAATTTCGCACTTTATATGCTGCCTTTTTCCCTATGGTTCCTGAGTAGTGTCACTTTTGAGAATATCTGTAAAGTGTACCCCAAGAAATGTTTGTCCCTCATTTCATCTTTAAGCTCTTTGTTAAAAATGAGGCTGTTGTATAAACTATACTTCATATTAGCCAATAGATTTGATGTTCTTTTGTCTTTCCACTATTATATTTCACAGAAAACCCACCTAGTGCCAAGCAACCATCCAAAATGTTAGTTATCAAGAAAGTTTCCAAAGAAGATCCTGCTGCTGCCTTCTCTGCTGCATTCACCTCACCAGGATCTCACCACGCAAATGGGAACAAACCATTAATCACAGTTCCAAGTGTTTATAAGAACCTGGTCCCTAAGCCTGCACCCCCTCCTTCCAAGGTATGATTTAGAACCAGTGTGAGAGCCTGTATTATAGCAGAGGTCTGGATGCAAATCAGGAAAAGCAAAATTAGTAAATTAATTTTTTCCTGTTGAATCATTCACCAGATATTCATGGTACCTGTTAAATGTGTAGTATGGTACTCTGTCTCCAATTTCTACTGCTGCCACTGGATTTTTAGTAAAGCTTTCATACTCATTAGCTTATCTCATAAACCTGCTTCTCCTGGTTTGTTTCCATGAATAGCCTCAGCATCCATCTGATCACTCAGCTAAATTTCTTGGCCTGCTTTATTTCCCTCCTCCTCTCATTCCCTTCTACCAAGCACTTATAAAGTTCCTATCAGTTATTCCTGCTGTGATGTCCTATGCCCTTGTCTTCTCACATTTACTGTTGTGGTTAATTCTATTTCCTCATCCCTCTATCACAGAACTTTAGAGAATGCTAACCCTAAAAAAATTGAATATATCACATCCTTTCTTTAATCCCTTCAGTACTTCCAAACCATCTATAGGAGTTGATAAACTTTTCTGAAAAGGGTTTAATACATATTTTAGGCTTTGCTAGTCGCACATGACATATGATCTTGTTTTTTACCAACTGAAATATACTGACAAAACTATTCACTTTAGGGCCTCCCCGGTGGCGCAGTGGTTGAGCGCTGGGCCAGCCTCTGCAGCACTGGTTTGATCCCCGGCCGCCAGGCGAGGGTCCCACATGGCGTGACAGACCTCTCCTGCCACGCCCGCTGCTCCCCTCAGCAGTGTGTTTCGTCATTCTGCCTGTTCTGTTCCCCGCTCTGGCTCTGGTGAATTTTCTCACCTTCCCACACTTCTAACTGTACCCAGTGCTTGTATAAATAAATAAATAAATCTTTAAAAAAAAAAAAAAAAAAAACCTTCACTTTAAGTGTATATCATAATGATTTGGTATTTATGTATATTATAGAATGAAGACAATAAGTCTGTCTTAACATCCATTACCATACATAGTTACAAAAATTTTTTTCTTGGGATGAGAACCTTTGAAATAACCTCTTTGCAGCTTTCAAATATGCAACACAATGTTATTAACTATAGTCATCATGCTGTACATTACATCCCAGACTTACTTTAAAACTGAAAATTTTACCTTTTGACTTCCCTAATTGATTTTTTTTTTATTTTATTTTTTTTTAATAGAGGCATGTTTTTCTTTATTTATTTGTTTGCTTGTTTGTTTGTTTTGTTTATACATGCACTGGGTACAGTCAGAAGCGCGGGAGGGTGAGAGAATTCACCAGAGCCAGAGCGGGGAGCAGAGCAGGCAGAAGGACCGAAGTACACTGCTGAGGGGAGCAGCGGGCGGCAGGAGAGGTCTGCGCGCCATGTGGGACGCCCCTCCGGTGGCCGGGGAGCAGCTGGGGATTGAACCGGCGCCGCAGAGGCCGCGGGCAGTTTTGCAACCCAGCGCTCTACCGCTGCGCCACCGGGGAGGCCCTTCCCTAATTGATTTTGCTCATACACCTTAATTCTAGAAACTCTCAAACTGTACTCTGTGTCCATGAGCTTCAGTGGGTTTTTGTTTCTCTTTTAGATTTGACATATAAGTGAAGTATTAAGGGATTTGTCTTTATCTGCCTGACTTACCTTACTTAGCATAATGTTCTCAAATTCATCTGTGTTGTAAATGGCCAAATTTCATTCATTATTTTTTTTAAAGATTTATTTTATTTATTTATGCATTCAAGAACTGGGGTACAGGCCAGAGGTGCCAGGGGGTGAGAGGATTCACCAGAGACAGACTGGGGAGCAGAATAGGATGATCTACTGAAATACACTGCTGAGGGGAGCAGCGGGCAAGGCAGAAGAGGTCTGCTGTGCCATGTGGGTAGCTCCCTGGCCGGCTAGGGATCGAACTCATGCTGCAGATGTGCGGACAGCTTCATAGGGCTGTGCTTATTAACCCCTAGTGCCACGAGGGAGGCCCAAATTTCATTCATTTTTATGGCTGAATAATAGTCCATTGTTTGTATATTTATTTTCTTTATCCATTCATTTGTCACTGGTCACTTAGGTTGCTTCCCTATCTTGGCTGTTGTAAAAAATGTTTACGCATGGGAGTCCATGTACCTTTTTGTTAGTGTTTCTGTTAGATAAATACCCAGAAGTATAATTCTTACATCATATGGAAGTTTTATTTTTAAGACTCCCCATACTGTTTTTCATAGTGGTGCACCGGTTTCCATTTCCACCAGCAGTGCACAAGGGCTCCCTTTTTTCTACATTCTGGACATGTTACTATCTTTTTGATAAAAACCAGTTTAATAGATATAACTCAGTGATTTGCTTTACTCTACTAATTAGTGATGTCGAACATCTTTTCATATATATGTTAGCCATCGTATGTCATTTGTGGAAGCCTGTCTTTCATAGTTTCTGCCCATTTTGTAATTTGATTTTTTTTTTTTTTAACTATTGAGTTGTATGAATTCTTGTATTTTGGATATTAATCCTAGTCAGATAATGTAATTTACAAATATTTTCTGCCATTCAGTAGGTTAACTTTTCATTTTGCTGATGATTTCCTTTGATTTGCACAAGCTTTTTAGTTTGATACAATCCTAGGGGTTTATTTTTGCTTTTGTTGCCCTTGATTTTGGAGTCAGAATAAAAAAATCATCACTAAGGGCCTCCCTGGTGGCGCAGGGGTTAAGACGCAATCTGTGAAGCTATCTGCAGCCACTGCAGCACAAGTTCGATCCCCACTGCTCCCCTAGGTATCCTAGTACATATAACATGTTCTATGGTAGGGCCTCCCCTGGTGGCACAGCGGTTGAGCGCTGGGTTGCTAGGATGCCCGCAGCCTCTGCAGTGTCAGTTCAATCCCCAGCCACCAGCGAGGGTCCCACAAAAAAAACAAAACAAAACAAAAAAACACATAACATGTTCTATGGTAAACCTTTTATACCAGTATATAAAAGAAACCTAAGTGTTTCTGTCACCTGAGGTGGCAATGTTAAAAAAAAGACAAGATATGGTTACCATTACAATCCTGGGAAAGCCACTGAGGAACTTTTTTTTTCCCAAAGGTTTATTTATGCATACAAAAACTAGGGTGTAAGCCAGAGGTGCGGGGAGGGGTGAGAGGATCCACCTGAGAAAGTGGGGAGCAGAACAGGATGATCTACTAAAATACACTATGGAGAGGAGCAGTGTGTGAGATAGAGGTCTGTTGCGCCATGTGGTTAGCTCCCTGGCCGACTGGGCATCGAACTCGTGCTGCAGTGGCTGGCGATAGCTTGATAGTGCTGTGTTTTTAACCCCTGCAGCACCAGGGAGGCCCCGGAACTATTATTTTTGATAGTATCCTGACATAAGCGCCCATCTTCAGATTGTCATCAGTGCCAGAGAAAAAAATTAAAGTATATTCCTGTTGGGTTTGTATCTTATATATTCTTTTTGGTTGTATTGTGAAAAAACAGTATCACATAAGTGCTGAGTAACTTTGGATAAATTGTGTAACTTCCCTAATCTCAGTGTCATTCTCTATCAATTGTTGACATAATAATTAGACCTGATTGGGTTAAGAATTAAAACATTATGACAGGGCCTCCCTAGTGGCACAGGGGTTAAAGACAGAGCTATGAAGCTATCACCAGCCACTGTAGCACGAGTTCCATCCTCAGCTGGCCAGGGAGTTGACCTACATGGCACAGCAGACCTCCCCTGTCTCCCTGATGCTCCCCTCAGCAGTGTATTTCAGTCAGTCTGCCTGTTCTGCTCCCCACTCTGTCTGTCTCTGGTGAATCTTCTCACTCCCTGCACTTCTGGCCTATACCCCAATTAGTTCTTCTACACATAAATAAATCTTTAGAAAAAAAAAAAACAAAACATTATGACAAACATCTACATGGTACATTCTTGTTCATGCCCTTTAATACCAAGTAAGAAAATTTTTCCACTTACCTTCTGATGTTTTGTTCTAGAAAAACAGATGCTTTTCCCTTGTTCCTGTTCTTCTGAGAAAGTGTTATCAACTCAGAAACAATGTGTTTTCCACTGGCACTGTGCTGCCTGCCATCATAGTTGGGGCCAGAGAAAGAAAGACAGAATGGGCCCAGGCTCCACAGAGTAAACAAACAAAGGGCCTCTGAGTTACCCAGACATTTACATTGCCCACCATGGCCTGAAACTAGCCTCTTGCCATTGAATTTCCTGGAACACAGCATTTTTCTGATGTACTTTATTTTTGTTTTAAAGATGGCAGGATTAAAAAAAAAAGATAGCAGGATTATATCAGAGGTTAATAAGTTAAGACATCTTGGGCCTGGGCCTCCCTGGTGGTGCAAGGGGTTAAGCACCGCACTGTGATGCAATCTGCAGCCTCTGCAGCATGAGTTTGATCCCCAGCCCACCAGAGAGAAACCCACATGGCGAGGCAGACCTCTCCTGCTCGCCTGCTGCTCCCCTCAGCAGTATATTTCAGTTAGTCTGCCTGTTCTGTTCCCCACTCTGTCTCTGGTGAATCCTCTCACCCTCCGCATCTCTGGCCTGTACCCCAGCTCTTGTATGAATAAATAAATAAATCTTAAAAAAAAAAAAAAGACATCTTGGGCCTCCCCGGTGGCGCAGTGGGTTGAGCGCCACGCTGTGAAGCTGTCTGCAGCCTCTGCAGTGTGGGTTCGATTCCTGGCCAGCCAGGGAGAAACCCACATGGCGTGGCTGACCTCTCCTGCCTTGCCCACCGCTCCCCTCAGCAGTGTCTTCAGTCCGTCTGCCTGTTCTGCTCCCCATTCTATCTGTTGTAAATTCTCTCACCCTCCCATGCCCCTGACCTATACCCCAGTTCTTGTACATATAAATAAATAAAATCTTTAAAAAAAATAAAAAGTTAAGACATCTTAAAAGAAAACATTGGGGTCAGATAAATTTAGAAAATGCTCTATATTCTATCTTCCTTTCATATACACAAGCACAATTTGGTGTTTGAGAAATAGCAGTTTAAGGAACCTCTTGAACTTTATTCACCCCATCATGTCCAAAGCTTATTGAACTAGAACTCTTTTTCTGAGAAATAGCTATTAACATTCTATAGCTCTTGTTTCTTACTGCCCTTTTCTTTCAAGTGCCTACCCTCAGAAAGAGGTTGCATACCACCTAGACATGTTGAGACAGGTTATCTCTAGGAACTCATGTTTCCATATGCCATTTCACTCTTTGCTTTACAATCTTACAAGCTGAGGTTGTCTGCATGCTTGTTCTGATTTGTTCTTTTTTCCTATGTAGCCAAGTGCGTGGAAAGCCAACAGAATGGAACACAAATCAGGATCCCTTTCCTGTAGCCGGGAGTCTGCTTTTACCAGTCCAATCTCTGTTACCAAACCAGTAGTGCTGGCTGGTGGTGCAATTCTAAACTCTCCCAAAGAGGTGAGTGAGGATAAAATTGGGTAGCTTTTCTAAAGCTGGCTTTCCCACTTATGTGCTAAGATACCCAGAGTGACATATACAGTTCTAAATCCGTTTCTGTTGTAGCCATGCTTTGTCTAAAGTAATTTCCTTACTGATATTTTCTGTCAGCATTCAAAGAAGAGCAGTACCAAGGTTGTATAGTTTCTCTTGCTTAGTGGTAGAGTGAGGTTGGCCTATATTACACTGGCGTTCTGTTGGTATCCGTAGAAAGATCAGCAAAGTGCTATATAAGCCCTCTAGTCTGAACTTTTTAAGAACTCTGTAAAGCTGAAGTCTGTTTAAAGGAAAAGGATAGTTTATGTTTCAGTAAGAGACAGATAAATAAGATCCCAAATTCTGGAAATAGTACATTTTAGAAATGACCTAGAGAATCCCAGTTCTTGCTCTCTGCTGTCAGGAACAACATATTTGTGGTATTTGCCCAGAGTCCCTCAAGCACCACTCCTCCAATTGAGATCAACTCCTCTCGTCTCACCAAGTTAACCCGCCGAACTACCGACAGGAAAAGCGAATTCCTGAAGACTCTGAAGGATGACAGGAATGGAGACTTCTCAGAGAACAGAGACTGTGACAAGCTGGAGGATGTAAGAACATAGGTGTTTTCTTATCATATATGTCTGTTTTTTTTCTTATGGAAGAAAGGTGTGGCAAGTTTTAAATGTATGAAGAGATTTGTCTGTAGTAGTAACAGCCTGTGATAAAGTGAGTTTATTCCTTTGTTCAGCAGTTTTCAGATTAGAGCTCAATTTGATGGTAGTTGCATTGGGACTCAGAGTTCTTAAATAGGGCAGCACTGCCATTAAGTCTTGAATTGGTCAGTGTTGTAAGAAGTTGGTAAATTACAGAAGTTTTTGTCAGGATTATATTAAGCGTCAATAAAAGAAAATTTGGCAGATTGGAACAGTCTTTTGGTTTTGGCAATTCTGTTTGTTTTGTTGTTGTTTTTGTTTTCTGTAACAGTAAGATCCAAAAAGGATAATGACAGCTCATTAGTATTATCAGAGAACTTACTAACCTTTGATTACGTTGGGTCAGGATAGGCTTCCTTCTAGTTAGAGAAAAAATAGCAGCTAGAAACCTGAGAAGGGATTTCTATCCCCTTTTTAAATGCTTTTAAAAGTCAAGTCCTGTAGTTTCCACTCATACTTTATTGGCCAGCTGTCAAGTGCTCCCAAATGCAGGGGAGTCTAGGACTTTCAAGGGCCAAGTGTTGATTCCTTAGTCCAAAGCAGTAAGAAAAAGAGAATTGATACTGCATAGGCATCTAGTAGCGGTTAATATAGTTGACATAACCTGAAGTTAATATGCTGGCCTGTTGGTATTCTTTGGATATCTTAGCAAGGTGAGCAAGTCCTCATTTTAAAATGGGCAATACCTGTAGGCTTCTAGAAAGCATTTTCTTGGGTTCTGACTTCTTAATTTTAAAGTCTACTTATCTTGCCACAAAGGATCATTAAACCAAATGTGTACTCCCTTGTTGCAGTTGGAGGACAACAGCACACCTGAACCAAAGGAAAATGGAGAGGAAGGCTGTCATCAGAATGGTCTTGCTCTCCCTGTAGAAGAGGAAGGAGAGGTCCTCTCACAATCTTTAGAAGCAGAACACAGGTGAGGATTGACTCATGGGACAGCTTGTTATATGTATGACTTACCAGGAGCTTGAGCGTACTTAAAACATCTCAGAAAAACAAAGGAAAGAAAGACAGTATTTCAGATCAAGTCCAGCCTGCAAGCACCATGCTATCTTGTTTCTACTGTTTTTTCTCTATACTCTCAACTGTGACGATCCCCCCATTAAAGTACAAACACCTAAATAGGGTCCTTCCTGGTGGCGCAAGTGGCTAAATCTCAGTACTATGAAGCAATCTGCAGCCACTGCAGCATAAGTTTGATCCCCAGCCAGAGAGCTAGCAACATTGCGCAGCAGACCTCTCCTATCTCGCCCATTACTCCCCTCAGCAGTGTATTTCAGTAGATCCGCCTGTTCTGCTCTGTTCCCCACTCTGTCTCTGGTGAATTCTCTCACTTCTCTGTACCTTTGGCCTACACCCAGCTCTTGTATGCATAAATGAATCTTTAAAAAAAAAAAAAAAACAACACCTAAATAGTCACAATTAAAGCTTATCCCTATGAACCAGAGACACTTTTTGGGGGGTGGGGGGCGGGAGGGGAGGGATTGGGGTCAGAATGGGGGGGTTGCTGTTGTATGGGGGAATATAAAAATAAAATTTATTATGTTAAAAAAATAAATAAAACCAATCTTAAAAAAAAAAATAAAGCTTATCCCACTGGGAAGAAAAGAAATACCAAGTTTTTTCTCTAAACATTCAAATGGGTACCTTTGCCTCTGGGCAGGAAAGTTTTCTGTAGAAAGTTGTGGGATGCTCACTTAGGCTAAAAGCTATCGTTTTATTTACCTGTCTTATCTCTGCCAGGCTACTGAGAGCAATGGGATGGCAGGAATATCCTGAAAATGATGAGAATTGCCTGCCCCTCACAGAAGATGAGCTCAAAGAGTTTTACATGAAGACAGAACAGGTAAGTTATAAACCTATCTTGGAAACCAGTAATGAATAGAAGAGGAGTTAGGACAATCCTTGCCCTTAGGGAACCCCAATTTTGTGTGAGAGAAGAACCTTGAAAAATCAAAATATAAAGTTGGCATGATAGAAATGTAGAGGAGCAGCAGCTCATTATACCTGGACAATCTAGTATACAGTAGATCTCCAGTAGTGGATACAAAAGCCAGGTCTGTTGTTAGCAGATTTCTGAGAGTAGTATATTTGTTCATCTTGGAAGCTGCAAGCTCTTAGCAGAACCACAGGCTGGTTCCAGAGTTAAGGGCCTCATCTGTCTCTCTCTAGAGAAATAGGCTCACCCTCCTCTTCTAGCCCTGTGGTTTCCCTCTGGTACTCTGGCCAGAGCCAGAAAGCCAAATGGTCTATTTGAATTTATTCAGTAAATGCTTGGATTCTTTCTCTTACTAAAATACTGTCAGATCCTAGGATTTATAGCAATGAATAAGACAACTGGGTCTCTATACACTTAGGGGCTGGTGGTGTTTATTTATTTATTGTATCACAAGAATCCTTAATGTTTAAAGTTTACTTGTGGGGCGCTAGGGTATATATGTGTTTAGTAAAGTGTGCCAGGTGACTATATTAAGATCATTTTAGTTCACATCGCCACACTCCACGTGGATGTTTGCTGCCCAACAAGGTCATAAAGTGATGGGCCTTGACTTTTCTATTGGATTGGTCAGCTTTGCTGGCAAGTTCTTCCCCAACTCTCCAGGCACAGACTACCCCAATACACATCTTCCATCCTATATAATAGTAAGATGGAAGATTTCTCAGTGCATTTCATTAGTTCAGTATGTCTCTGGTTCAAAAATTTAAGAAAGGTAAACTATAGAAGAAAACACAATGAAAGCCTAAATTATAATTGTGTTAAGTCCAATGAAAAAGAGAAACAGGTTGACATAAAGACTTTGCAACTCAGACCTCTGTTCCTTCTATCATGGTCAACAGAACAGAACTCTTCCCTCTATTTCTATACATGGTCTATCATGAGAAATTGTGTAGAAATAGGAGGTTTCAAACCCTACCCCAGACATACTGAATCAAAATCTGCATTTTTAAAAGATAATTAGATGATTCATTGGCCCATTAACATTTAAAAAATACTGCTATAAGAATTCTTCAATCTCCTGGAGGGATTCCCTCTGCCTTTTGCCTAGGTTGGGATTGAGGCCTGGTCCCATGGATCAGCAAAGTTGATTGTTTTCATTTTTTCCTCTTTCCATGCTAACCACAGCTGAGAAGAAATGGCTTTGGGAAGAATGGCTTCTTGCAGAGTCGCAGTTCCAGCCTCTTCTCCCCTTGGAGAAGCACTTGTAAAGCAGAGTTTGAAGACTCAGAAACGGAAACCAGTAGCAGCGAAACATCAGATGACGATGCCTGGAAGTAGGCATATAGACACTCACAGTTAAAATATGATACAGGAAACTCAGCTTGTGTGTTTAGGGATACAAAAGAAATCATTCTTTTTCTTAGGTTGTCAAATACTTCACGCACAAGGGAAATAATCGTATCCCAAAGAGAGCTATCAGCTTGTTTAGCTTTTGGTGTTGTTCTTCCCTGTTATCTACTTAATAGAGAGACGTTTGTGTGGTGAGAAAGATTTTTAACACACACATACACGCAGTATCTATGGGGCGATGCACAAGTGGGAGCTGGCAGTGCAGAGGAGACACTGGTCTACAGCAACAGCTTCTACTACCAGCCCTTGGGGCACTCACCCCTGTGCTCAAGCAATCATTGTCAATGACAAAGTGACTATTGAAGTTTTAATTGTATTAAATTAATGCTAATAATTTGGATATTTTATTTTATTTTTGGCTGCTCGGGTAACGTTAGCCCTTAACTAAGCATATGTGGTTTTCTTTTTTTTTTCCTTTTTGGGTACAGCTGTATAATATTTGGATATAGGAAATGTTGTGTTATTCTTGCAGCCTTGATATTCAGGGTGGATTGTAAAATATAAATTTTTGTGAGATTTCAAAGATTAAGATTATTTTGATAACATTATTTACAGATTTAAAAGATGTGGTTATCATAAGTCTGTTGAGGGGGAATAACTACTGCATAAAATAACTAACTTGGAATAAATATTTTGCATCGTTTGGATTGTCTTGTGTAAGAAGTATATTTTCTTTAAAATGAGATGAGTAGATTCTTTTTTCAGAATAAAAGACTGAGGGGAATTTAAATTCAGAAACACCTGTTTCTTTTAGCAGATACTTTTTTTTTTTTAAGATTTATTTGTTTATTTATACAAGCACTGGGTACAGTCAGAAGCGCAGGAGGGTGAGAGAATTCACCAGAGCCAGAGCGGGGAGCAGAGCAGGCAGAAGGACCGAAGTACACTGCTGAGGGGAGCAGCGGGCAGCAGGAGAGGTCTGCGCACCACGTGGGACCTGCCTCTGGTGGCTGGGGAGCAGCCGGGGATCGAACCGGCGCTGCAGAGGCTGTGGGCAGCTTCGCAGCCCAGCGCTCAACTGCTGCGCCACCAGGGGAAGCCCTAGCAGATACTTTTTTGGATGCAAAAATAAAAAAGTGCAATAAATTACCAGTAATAAAATCAGAAACCCATGTTTTCTTCCTGAAACTTTTTCACTACCTGTATACTTACCAGTGTACATATTGTAAGGAAAGTCCGCTCCCGGGTCAGACGGCCTTAATTTTCCTGATAAATCCAAAACATGGGGGGGAAGGGGCTTAAGTTGACACTGTTTGGGTAACCAGTGGAGGAGGCAGGTTTTATCATTCAGCAAACACTTTGTATGTTCTTGTGTGTCTGGGCATTGTGCGAGGCTCTGGGGATGTCAGGAGAGCTCAGCCGAGTAGGGAAGAGAATTCATATTTTCAAGATGGAACTTTAGACCAAGCTAAACAACAGCAAATACTGCCACTGGTACTCTGACCATCTATACAGTACATGGTCCTAGTGAATTTAGAGGTCTACAATAGAGTAGAAACAGGTCTCATACTAGATGTTAGAAAGATAACTGACTTGTAGTATGGGCTTTAGGCAGTGTAGAGGCAGAGAAGCCAGCATTATTTTTGCTAGATTCTAAAGAACAGGAGGACAAAGACCCTATCAGCCACACTGTACCATCCGTTGCTCCTGCTATTGTGTTGCTAAAATATGAAAAAAAGTTTTAGAATCAATGAAACTACTATAAAATGAACTAAGTTTCAAAAGTATTAAACTAGAAAGGGAAGTAAGGAGATTGAGAGCTATTGCACATATTTGACCTTGGACTTTGCTACTTAATAGCTTTCTTAAAACAAATTCCTAGAAATATACCCCTTTTCACTTGGTATTAAGCTGGACTGAGATCACATACTTTAAAACACTTTGTAACTTGTTGCTGGTCATATGTTGGCCTGACATAACTGTTGGGGGCGTGGGAGCTACCATTAATCCCAGTCTTGCTTAGAAAGGGGTGTTTGTTTAGTAATAAGGACTGGCTCCGAACTCCTGCCTCTGCATAAATTGGTGAGCAGGACATCTGGTGAACACGAAATACCCTTCTGGCCAGCCTCAGGTGAAGGAGCACCTTTCTGTATTTTTTCCTAGTCTGATAGATTGTTTTCCAAGAATTTGGATTTCTTGGGCTGTGCTAATTAACCTCCCTCTTCAGCTGAAGGAGAAGAAACATGAATGGATATTAGGGAGACACCATCAGCCTTGGTGACTTGGTAATATAAAGGCTGTTGTTGCTTCCAGACATGCCCAATGCAGAGAAGACCTTTTCAATCTGGGGGAAAGAAAGTTTCAACACAATGTACAAAGCACCTCTTCGCCCAGGTGTTCTCTGAAGTGACACTACCTAGGTTACATCCACTGGGAAAACAAGATGATACTTCCCTGATAAAGGCTGTTATTAAATGACCAATGATGGAGTATGTGATGTGGGCCCAGCTAGTCTAGGAGGTGATGTTGATTCACCTTCATTCATTAAGACTGATAGAGAGACTGACCCATGCTCATGCAAGGAAGGGGAACAGACATTTTTTTTGACATTTTTTCAAGTCAGGGTCCCCTCCTAAAAGTGACCAAGCCTTCCCCGCCCATTCTCCAGACTTGCCCAGACATGTAGTTGCTGCCCAGGGAGCTGACGCTCCTCCCCAAACAAACTTGATCTTGTACAATAGATTCAGTAAATCTGGCCTTTCCTCTCTGCGTCGGATTTCTGTCTTCTCTCCCTTTCCCGTGCCTTCTATGCTGTCTTCTGCAGGTCTCCACTATGTCAGGGAAGGATTCCCATGCCGTGGCCTCCCACTCTGAGAAGCCAGGACTCTTGCCCTGTGGATCCTGTGACATGGTTTTCCGCTCCTGGGCCCTGTTGGCCACCCACACTCAGCGTTTCTGCATTGGCCGTCTGACCCGGGAGCGGACAAATGGAGCGCGGCCTTCAGTAGCCACTGAACCACGAGATCCCACGGTAAGGGCAGCCTCTGTGGCCACAGTCCTGACCGCGGGGGTCTTAAAGCGATCCTGACCCTCAGGATTCTAAACCCCATACTCTCCCCAGGTTGTACCACAAGAACACCGGGGTCTGTCAGACCAGATCAGCAAATCGACTCTCAAGAAGCTGACCGAAGAGGTACACGCGGCTTTCCCCAGGGGCTTGAAACTTGAGTATCCTCCCCAAACTCAGAGCTCACTCCTGGGTCAAATTACCCCAATGCAGATCACGGGTTTCTCTTACTTCCAGGTGCAGCAGCTGCGGCTGTACCTTCAAGACCGGCAACCCTGGCTCACAGAGGGGCCCCGGAGGCGGTCGGAGGCGCCGGGTCAGGCCTCCGCCCCCGAGGATGCGCGGAGCCCCGGCGCGCGGCTGCGTGCGCTGCGCCGGACACATGCGAGGCGCGTGGCGGAGACGGAAGCGCAGAGCCAGGCCCTGGAGCGACGCAGCGAGGGTGAGGGGCAAGGGGGAGACTGGGAGGGCATTCCACCCCTGTCCCTGCCTTGCGATTGCTCGGACCACTTCAGACTCGGTTCCTTATCCCCTCAGAACTGAACCAGCGCCTCCAAGCTTTGATTCAGACCCAGGGCGGAAAATCACAACTGGTCGTCATGGAGCGGGAGCTGCAAGAACTCCGGGCAGAGGCCGGGCGAACGTGGGGCGCTCTGGAGGCGTTAGGAGCGCACATTCAGCAGCTGCAGCCCGAACCTGGGTGAGGTGCCAGAGCGTGGCCCTGAGTTGGCGGGTGCGGGTGCGGGAGGCGCCCCTCGGAGGCAGCTGGAAAGTGCTGGGCGTGACCCCGCAAGGGCTGGGGCTACTGTAGGTCTGGGGTCAGCCTGCTAGATTCCCTCCTTGAGCTGCTCGCCCGGCACCCAGGAACCGGCCGGACGCCTTGCGAGAGGCAGAACTCTGTTGTCCGATACTACAGGCCAGCCCCGGGACTCTGACTGCAGAAATCGGGTGAGGTTCGGGGCCTGAGTACGGGCACGGGACGAAGCGCCGATCAGTCCTGGAAAGGCCTCCTTATTCCCTACTTCCTAGGACCCTCCGTGAAGCCTACATTCGAGGTGGGGGCCGGGACCCCAGCGTTCTGGGCCAGATGTGGCAGTTGCAAGTGGAGGCATCAGCTCTGGAACTGCAGCGGTCGCGGAACCGCAGGGGTGAACAGGAGGGGCCAACCAGAAAGGCCTCTCGGAAGCGGTGGTCTTAGTCCTGGGAGGAGAAAAGGGCGGTGAGGGAGGGCGTCTTTGGCGTGGAAACCACCTTAAGTGAAGCCCTCGAGTGGTCTGTGTGGCAGTAGCTAGGTGTTAGCTGACAAGTCCAGCCTTACCGAAAGAGGCCTAAGACTGGAGAACTGCTCAGAGCCGGACCGACTGCTTACCAGAAATCAGAGGTGACAGGTGAAACTTCTTCATAGCAGGAAGACTGGCAGGTGGCACATCAGGGGAGCTTCTAATAGTGGAGGCGGAAAACCGGCGCCTGGAGGCGGAAATCCTGGCCTTGAAGATGCAGAGGGGCACAGGCCGACCTCCTTGGGGTCAGTGAACACTCCAATCCCGACCAGCCTAGTTCCCCTCAGCAGGTGGGGATCAGAGGAAAGGGTTAGAAGGACATGCATGGGGAATGAAACGTTTTTGTATCTCTGTAGGTCCATGTCCATGAGCTTCCCCCTGTGTCCTGTGTCTCAGTTTAGCCCCTAAGGGACTAAACTGCTGTGCCCTGCTCAAGGGAGCCCTATTCTTCCTGTGCACCTAGGGCCTGAGGAGACTCGATTTGTGGCGGATCCTGGACCACGGTTGAGGAGGGGAGATCCCCCACTCCCACCACGTGTGGCTCCTCCACTTCCACCATTTCCACCACCCATAGGCGTCTTCTTGGGTGGCACAGAAAAAGCTGTGAGGACCCAAAGATTGGGGCAGGGGCAGCTCTGTTCTGTACATTTGGGGGTGCATAGGCAAGTAGGTGGCTTCTGGGTGAGTCAACTCTTCGCCAACAGCCACAGCTTCCCAGAACCAGGACCACAAACCTGAGTCTGGATTCACACTTCCTCCTGCCCATATCGGACGTTCTGGGCCCTGCACCCTATGATCCTGGGTGAGATCTGCTTCTTCCTTTGTCATAGCGATTTGGTTAGCTACTGGTTAAAGAGACCCATCAGGCCTCTCTAAGGTTGGGGAACACTCTGGGGGCTGTGAGGATGAGGGGAGGAGGTAAGTGTATGTGTAATTGCACTGAGACTTGTCTCCCCAGGGCTGGGCTGGTCATTTTCTATGACTTCCTGCGAGGCCTTGAAGCTTCTTGGATTTGGGTGCAACTGATTACTGGCTTGGCTCGGGACGGCCAGGATACAGGAGGAACCACAGCATTGCCCCCAGCCCTTTGCTTACCCCCACCTCCAGCTCCTGGGCCAGTGGGCAACTGTGCCATCCTTGCCAGCAAGCAGCCTGTACCTAGGTCAGTACGTGGGAATTAGTGACTGGCAACCTACCTTTATTGAGGCTTGCCTCTCCTTTGGCTGTTTTCTCATTGTATACAGAGCCACAGGGGCTCTGAGGGCCAGTTTCTTGGTAATACAGCCAGTTCTGATATCTGGTAACTCTTTCTGGTCTAGACTGCCACCCTCACCGTCAGTGTCCTTGATCTGTGAGCTGCAGGCCTGGCAGGGGCTGGCATGGTCTAGAGCACCAGAGCTAAAGGCCTGGACCTCACTACTGATATTTGACCGGGAACAGAGAGTGCTAAGTGGCCGTTGGCGTCTCCCACTTCGGGCGCTTCCTCTGGATGCCAGTCTTAGCCTTGGGCAGCTGAATGCGATTCCCCAGGTGAGTGGAGGATGGGGACTAGATCTACTCCTCTAAGGTACAGAGGCAGAACCATTTCATCTCTCCCCAGGTAGGTCAGACTGAGCTCTTTCTGCGATTGGTGAATGCCAGAGATGCTAGTGTCCAAACACTGGCTGAGATCAATCCATCAAGTGCCCATGAATATCAATACCCACCTATGGTGAGGAACCAACTAGAGCTATAGACACCAGGGTTGTGGTCAGTATGGTTAATGAATGGCCTGCCTTTGTTGGGAATGCTGTGCCAAATCACTACCAAATGCTTTCTGTGGATTAATTCATGTGACAAATCTTACGTTACATTCTATGTAACATAAGGAATCAATGGGGAGGTTCACTTGGTTCACAGTAAAAAACGTGGAGATTGAAGATTGAAATGATCTGGAGACTATGTGACCCCAGAACTGTGCTGTTAACTGCTACATAAACCTCTTATTAAATACCTGCCTTCTCCATTCCACAGGTATCCACCTCATCTTCACTGGAAGCCAGCTCCTTTGCCCCAATAGCTGGCTTTGTGGATCCCCCTCCTCCTACAGAAGAACCCTTAACTGGCAATCAAGGATAGGGGACTTGGGTCCTGGCAGTTTTGACACCCCAACACCACCCTTCTCACTGGCTTTCTGCAGTAAATGTGGGTATGAGTAGCTTAATCTGATCAGGACTAGCAACTAGATTAAGTGTTCCCAGAGCTCTTTTACTACTCCATGTTCTGATTTAGGGTCTAGAAACAACAGATGCGAGCACAAAATGTAATCTCCACCCAGTTTTACAAGTATTGAGCCTTTCTATACCTGTTTTCCTTATGTAGAACAGATGGACGAGAGGATTAAAGGTGTCACATTATTTCCAGTATTGCCTGGCATGCAGGGATGGTGATATGGGGACACTTTCATTCCAGCAAAAGTAACTCATTCCCACCTCTTCTTTGCTAAGCCAGTCTTATTGCCACATTATTACATTTGAACCCAAGCTTCCTCAGGACATCCTGCAGGAATTCTTCTAGGTTTCTTAAGGTTCCCGTGAACAGAAAGCTCCTAAAGCCATTTATACCTGAGATTTCAGGGCAGGATCCCAGCTCAGTCATGTTCTTCCCTGGTTGGGCTTGAGAGGAAAGACTAGCTGAAATTTGATTACCAGCCCTGACTCCAGACCTTTGTCAACCAAATGTGGCATTAAGGCCTGGGAGTCACAACTATTGGCCTAAACCAACAAAATAAGTCTCAAGTCTTGGAACTGGCAGTACAAGCGTATCTTCAGGAAAAAATTCAAAATCAAAGGTTCTATAGCTATGTTACTATAACCATCCCAGAAAAAAACTTTTAGAGAACAAAATATCCTCTTAAAAATGGGGTTGACATGGGTCAGCAAAGCTTCCTGACTCTGAATTAGATTTTCACACACCAGGTTCTGTTTATCCAATGCAGCCCTTTTAAACTAAGGATCATTGGTGAAGATTCAAAGGGATAGCTCAACTACCATTTCTCTGAGCCGTAGTACCTTTAGACTGGACCTTTTCTACCCTGCTTAAACACCCTGTAACAATCCTATAAACATAAGTCCAGACCATTTTTTAGCATCTTTATTTGACAAGTCAAAACTGCAAACAGTAACAATTCAAACAATTCAACCTTTCTATACAGAAAACAAATATATCAACCAGCCAGCCACCCACCCCCAGATCCCTCCAATCATATCCAGTGCCCAGCCGAGTCTCTTAGCCACTTTTAAACCAAAGCTCAAGTCTCTACAATGATCACTTCTTCCTAAAGTGTTCTTCAGTTCTCTAACTAGGACAAGACTATGGCCCCAGGTGATAGCAAAACAAGTACCACCCAAGTTGTGGCTTAGAGGCAATATATTATGAGTCCAAAGGGTATCAGCACCAAAGAGATCTTCACACCAAGTCTTGTTTCTGTAGTCTCCAGCCAAAGACAGCACACCACTGAAGACAGCTAGCAAAACCTTCAGTCAGGTACTTAAAATGGAAAAAATAGAGCACCATTGCAAGAGCGAAGAGCCACACTTCCGTTGACCACCTCCACATTAGATAAATAAGAATTTGAATTAGAACTTCCAACAGATAATCAGTATATAAGTGTGGGGAGAAGAAGGAAGTACCTTTGGCCACTATGTAAATCCTGGAGTGCTCCAAGGCACAGATCCAGCCAGTATTTAAGGGGAAAAAAATCATCAAAGCCTCAACCTTTGCTTACAATCTTTATTGAAATTATACAAAAAGAATTCCCCCAAAAGTGAAAAAATACATTATATACAAAAACACTTTCCCTCAGGAGGAAGGCCATGCTCCCTTCTCAACATGCAGTACTTTCAACTGTAGCTCCAGCCTCCACTGACCCCTCCACTGCTACCCGGCTTTCAGCCTGATTCTGAGCCTGAAAAATAAAGAGTTTGAGTGAGACTAGTTTAAGTCATTCCATCTTATACAACTGAGTTTCAGTCAGAAGAAATAAAACATAGATCCCCCAAATTATGCTTTTGCTTCCTACACTAAAAAGGCAGTCGATACAGCATAGTCGATACTCTCACAAAGAAAGGAGGAAGCAGAAGTGACCCAATGGACTTTGGACTTGCCAATTAAGTGGCTTGTCATGTTTATTAGAGGGGACTCCATGGTATATAAGGTTCCATTTGTCAATGAAAATTCCTACACTCCATCATCACTAGTTCCTGAATAATCACTGCTTTTAAGGGCTGCTGCACTCAGGCACTCCTAATAGGTTCAAGATGGGAACGTGCATTTGGGAGAACTGGTTTCCCCTAAGCCCTACTTAATGGCTCACCTCCTCCTCCATGTTTTCTGAAACTTCATTTCCACTGGAGACAGCATCCCCACTGCCTCCATTCACCTCTGGTTCTTGTTTGGCTTTCTTTGCATCATCTTTCCGGGGGCTCTCTTCCTCTGGTTTCCTCTAAAGATATAATTGTGAAGGCTTCACAATAGTGCTTAGTGTTTTAAAAAGGACAATTGCAATAAACACTTTCCCACCCACTATAAGGTGCAAAGAGCCTGTGAATTAAGATTCACAGCTCCAAGGGTCTCTTCCTTGCCATAGGAAGCAAAGCCAACCTGTTCTCTGCAAATTCAGCCTCCTTGATGGGAAGGATGGGGGGATAGGGATAACCCCAAGTTTGAATTCCTGCATTTGAGTCAGGAAACAAATTAGCAACCCAAAGGAAAGAAGTTACAAGGCAGCAGGCTGATTCATAGGTCTGCTGCTGAAAACCCACTGTCAAGGAACCTACCTGCTCACTTCCTAAAATGGGCTGAAATGACCAATGCCCCTTACCAGCTTTCCTGGGAGTCATTAGGCTAAAGAGACAGGAGCTCAAAAACCTCACAACCCAAAATGGATATCTTATTGCACTCCAAGTGTTGGAATAGGAAAGATATCCCTGGTGTATCATTTGGAGGGGAGGAAACGCAGCCTGGGAAGATAGAAAATGAATGACCCGCATGTAGACTTACCTTCTTTCTGACAAGGTGGGAAATATCTGTCACACAATTTGATGAAGAAGCACCATCTGTTGGCTTTCTACTGGCAATCTAAGAGAAAATGTAGCCTTTGTTAAGCAATGTACAACTACATATGAGACAAACACTGAGGCCTAATGTTAAGGGGACAAAAAAATTACCTGAATACCCACCATGGAAACTGAAGAGTCTCCTCCACTGGAAGTAAAACCTGAAGTAGAGCTCTCCACCTGTGTGAGACATGACAAAACCAAATGGGTCCATGGCTAGAGCCACCATTCATTTCACCCCCAGTCTTACAATAGGTACCTTACATCAAAGTACTAAGACCTCAAATACAAAGTGGTCTCTATTTACTAGCAATATCATCTACCCCCTCTACGCATACCTGCCACCCCTGACCAGGCATAAGGGTTAGAAAGCTCTCTAACATTCCCAGAAGCAGAGACAGAAACAACTTACATTTGTTAGGACTATTCCTTCCTGTCAAAAATATTTTAACACCAAAAACTGAGTATCGTCTGCACACAGCTACTATTATCATCAATTCTGCAGATGAGTGAACTAAGGCAAAGGAATATCAAGTCTGATGATAAGCAGCAGAGAGAATTCAAACCTAGACAGTATGGCTCTATAGTATTCTCTTGGGCATTATTCTGAGCTATTTGATAGGAGTAATTAGATGCATTCTCACATTTTCTGACCACCAACTCTCTGGAAACCAAACCATGAGTAAGATTCCTAGCAAACAAAATACTAATACTATGATGCCTTCAATTATACCCATGTTATTATCAAAACTTTTTAAAGTAAAACAAACCAACCAGAGTTGCTTTCAGAGCCAACTCAGCTACATTTCCACTACGCTGGGACTCCTTTGCATCTTCTATCTTCTCTCTGATTTCAGGTAGTAGTTCCTTCAGTTCTTCAATTTCTTTCTCATATTCAGCAGGGGATCCTTCTGTTGCCTTCATTTGCTCACTTAGCACAGCTGCAAAGAACAGGCTGAAGTCATCAGTAAGTTAATACAAAAGGATCTTTTTTTGTATTGTCAAGTACTGGATTCATCAAATCATTGTGTGAAACAAATGATGCTCTCTCACTCACCCATTCTCTTCTCAATGACTTCAGTAGATTTGCTGAATTGTGCCACTGCCTCGTCATACTGAGAGTTGTACCCATAGGCCAACCCCAACTGGTAATGAGTCTCTGCAAGGAGACGATCATGGGCTTCCAGGTATTGCTCCTGCAGATTTAGGCAAGCCTGGAACTCCTCCACAGCTTGAACATAATTCTCTAATGAAGATAGAGCGAACAGTAAGCAAATGACAGCATTTAATGCGTAATACTTGTAATATTCAGGTCACTCTGCTGGATGCTTCTTTTATCATAGTAGCATCTCCAATGAACCCTATTTAATATAAATGTCTAAATGACAACAAAACATGGAAAAGCAAGAACAGGTCGGGAAGAGAACACAATGGACTATGGTGAAGGACTGTGGGTGCTTGGTGGTGGCTGTGCTACAGTGACTAAGCCTAAAGGGAATGATCCTATACTTCCAAAATACTAATAAGGATGTAAAACCAATCGTACTTCAATTAAAAAAAAAAAAAAGAATAAGCACCTTACTGAAAAAATTTCATTTAGAAGAGATTTCTTTAGGAATTATAGCAAATCAAAATTGGAGGTCCTTTTAAAATCAACTGTCCAGGAGCCTCCTCAGTGGCCCAAGGGGTTAAGTACAGCTCTATGAAGCTAGCCACAGCTTCTGCAGGATGAGTTCGATCCTCAGCCAGGAAGCAACCCATATGGCCCAACAGACCTCTCCTGTCTCGCCCGCTGCTTCCCTCAGCAGTGTTTTCACAGTGTTTCAGTCTGCCTGTTCTGCCCCCCACTGTCTCTGTGAATCCTCTCACCCCCGCACCTCTGGCCCGTACCCCAGTTCTTGCATAAATAAATCTTAAAAAATAAAATAACTGTCCACAATTTATGATTAAGCTAGATTTTGAGAAAATGGGGTGATGGTATATGGCACTGCAATCAAAGGAGAATAAAATGGAAAATGCATTACCAGATTCAACACTAACTTCTCCAAGTTTAAGATGTGCCTGTGCAGCATAAAGCTGAGCTTCTTTAGTTTCTTGCCTAAAAGAAAGAAAATAATCAGAAACCTTAATAGTATTTGTCCAATCCTAACCACTTTCTATTTTCACCACCAAGTTCCTAGCGTGAGCCTACAAACATCAAGAATTTTACCTTTTAAAAATGATTTTTGCTAAATCCAGCATATCCCAGGCAAGCTCTAGGTTCCCAATCTCCTCCTCTTCATTTTCTTGAAGAGACTAAAGTACAACCAAATTAGTGGTACTGGTTAAATACAAGGCAGACATCTTTACATTACAAATGCAGATGCATAATTGTTTAAAAAAGTGACACTGAGGGCCTCACTAGTGGCACAAGGGTTTAAAGCACAGCACTGTGAAGCTATCCACAGCCTCTCTCCGGCCAGCCAGAGAGCTACCCACATGGTGCAGCAGACTGTTCCTGTCTCACCCACTGCTCCCTCAGCAGTGTATTTCAGTAGATCTGCCTGTTCTGCTCCCCGCCCTGTCTCCAGTGAATCCTCTCACCCCCGCACCTCTGGCCTGTACCCCAGTTCTTGTATGCACAAGTAAATAAATCTTTAAAAAGAAAGTGACACTGAATGCATAATGATTCACCTTGTTTTCAAGAACTGAATCATTTGGAATTTCTTCAGCTTTGTCATTTTCTTTATCCTCCTCTTCTGAGCCTTCAGTTTCTGTAAGCAAAAATTCTTCAGTATTGAGTATACTAAGAATTACCTTCTCACTAGTCAGAGATTCCAATATTTGTCAAATAACCTATATTCTGAGGCTTGACAGGACAGATGCCCAACAGTCAGTTGAACTGAATATAAAGCTAATGGTGATAGCCTACTTTTGTTCATAAATCTAATCTAGACTGTATAATTTAAGTGTCTGGTTCAGAGCTAAGTGTTTCTCTTTTAAAAGTCAGCCTGCATCATTAGCTACCACCTCTTTTCACTGGCCAAAAGCTCCCATCCACTCACAGCCAGTAGCTAGAGGCTTTAGTCAGTGTTCCTGGTATCTTTAAGCCACTTGTTAGATAATGATAGGTTGGAAAAACACCAAAAGTTAAGTTACTCCAATCCATTCAGAGCAAGAATGATGGAGAGACTACCTCTTCCACAACAGAACTGTGGAGAGAAAAGCTTAGTCCTTACCAGTTCTCACCAATGGGCATGCCACAGACTCCAGCCAGCTCTAGCATTTACAGAAATTTGAGCAGTACCACAACCGATTATGTTACTCAAGAATTATATTATAAATTTGGAGGCATACTGATACCGACATTATCAACATACACTTGTAAATCAACTACCTGTTAAGGACAGGTTGCTAAGAGCATTTAAGAGCTAAGACATTCCTTAGAATGTCAAGTGATTAAAATGGGCTTTTTGGGCTAATGATTCATAAGTTGGGTTATAGTGTATCTACCTCTACCATCTTCCATTAATTTCAGCAGAGTTCAAATGTTGTCTTCCAACAACCCACTATAGAAATGTAAATATGGCAATTAGGCCTTATACAATCATGAAGTCAAAAGTTAAAGGTTTTCATCTGCCTGGCAGCACTGCTTCATGCTGGGAAAAAGGCACCAAAAATTCCTCTATATTAGGGCCTCCCTGGTGGCGCAGCGGTTGAGCGCTGGGTTGCGAGGCTGCTTGCGGCCTCTGCGGCGCCGGTTTGATTCCCCGGCTGCTTCCCGGCCACCGGAGGAGGGTCCCACATGGCGCGCAGACCTCTCCCGCCGCCCGCTGCTCCCCTCAGCAGTGTGCTTTGGTCCTTCTGCCTGCTCTGCTCCCTGCTCTGGCTCTGGTGAATTCCCTCAACCTCCCACGCTTCTGACTGTACCTAGTGCTTGTATAAATAAAGATAAATTTTTAAAAAAAATTAAAAAAAAAAAAAAATCCTCTATATTACAAATTATAGTAGGACAAATTTTAAAAGCCCCCTAAAGCCAGTTACAAGCCAATTAACCTCTACAGTCAACAAACCCAGTTTTATCATGTGATTTGCTTTTCTGTCGACCATGTAATTTAGTAGTTCTGAAAAAATATAAGCACTTATCACATATCATACCACTCCATACCCAAATTTCCAAGAAATTTGTATATTTAGTTCCTTTGTATTATACTAGCTGGTTTCAGTGATTCTTGACAATAAGCCCATCCTCTAGCAAAATTGGCAAAACAAGCACGATCTATGTATTTCTCATAAGACTAAAAAGAATTTATTTCCTAATATGTGGGAAAAATTTGATATACTTCTGCTAAAAAAATTATCCGGTATCTGTTCCTCATACCAGATTAGGTTGATAATTTATTGAAATTTTATTTTAGGGCCTCCCTGGTGGCGCAAGAGTTAAGACGCAACCTATGAAGCTATCTGCAGCCAACGCAGCACGAGTTTGATTCCCGGCCAGCCAGGGAGCAACCCACATGGTGCAGCAGACCTCTCCTGACTCTCCCGCTGCTCCCCTCAGCAGTACTATATTTCAGTCAGTCTGCCTGTTCTGTTCCCTGTGTCTCTGGTGAATCCTGTCACCATCCCCACCCCCCCGCATCTCTAGCCTGTACCCCAGCTCTTGTATGCATAAACAAATCTTTAAAAAATTTTTTTATTTTATAGTAAACAATTTCTCCATTGTATAATTGTATTTCTGTACTATAATTGTTATATTTATAACACAATCATGTAGATTATAAAATTATATTTAAGTATAATAAAGTGAAAATCTCTTAACAGTCTGAGAAAAACAGTAATTTTCCTTGAAGAAGCGGTACTATCTTCATGGTACAGTGAGAGAAAGGCAAGCTTATGAGAAAGTTGTTATTTTAAAACATTTTCCAACTTGGTAACCTATATCTGGGTAATTAATAGGAATGCCTGATGCTCTCAGTAAGGATATATTAAAATATTTTCCAAGCTTCTTTGAAAATAGAAGCCTTTTACCACTCTTCAGAGAAAGGGAAATACTGTTTTATTTTCTGTAACCTAACAGCCTCTTCAAAACACGGGCACAAAGTAATGAAAACCTGAATGACCTGTAAAAGCAATCTACTTCCACAGAATAGTCAGGTAACCACTACACATTGGCCACTACAGTCTGAAAATGGTCAAGCTTTCATCCTACAATTTACAAATGTTATGTAGTGTGACTATTAGAAAAGAACAGATCAATTATCTTTATTAGGAATATGGGACAAGCCCAAGTGTTTGTAGGAAATAGGATTTTAAGAGAAAAATTACTTAAAAGATTTCAGCATAGGGCCTCCCCTGGTAGCACAGTGGTTGAGCGCTGGGCTGCCAGCCTCTGCAGCGCCAGTTCGTTCCGCGGCGGTGAGGGATTTCAGTATATTAGTATTGCCACATAAAGAATAAGGCACAGAAAATAAAAGCCTGAGTCTTAAAGCCAAAAGGTCCGGATCCCCTTTACTGGTTATATTAATAGGGAAAATTACTTAACCTCTTTCTGACATTCTTAATTTATAAGACAGAAAACTATGTATCAATACTTAGAATAGTACATTGTCACATACTAAAAAACAGCCTCATGGAAGCTTGTAAGTAATTTTAAGAGGAAATCTTTGGTAACCAGAAATTTTGTTGTGGGGTGCAGTGCAGTAACTACAAGTCCTTCCAGGCCTCCCTGGTGGTACAGGGGTTGGTTATCAAGCTATCGTCAGCCACTGTTGCTCGAGTTTGATCCCCCTGCCAAAGCTAACCCACATGGTACCAGCCAACCTCTCCTGTCTAGCCCGCTACTCCCCTCAGCAGTGTATTTCAGTAGATCTGCCGTTCTGCTCCCCACCCTGTCTCTGGTGACTCTTCTTACCCCTTGCACCTCTGGCTTACACCCCAGTTCTTATATGCATAAATAAAAATAAATCTTTTTTAAAAAAGTCCTCCCACAGAATACTATATAATATTGTGTTTGGGGAAAATAATACATTAAAGTCTGCTCTAGGGTCAGATTCTTGCACTGTGGTGTATTGTTTGACCCTAAAAAAATGATCCCCAAGCCTCATCCTCATTGCTGTAATTGGATTACTACATAATTTTATATTTATATATATATATGTATATGTACAAAAAAAACTCCAACTTAAGAATGCCAACAGGGTTCCTTACTACTTTGCTCAGTATCATTAAAGATCAAGACATGGGTTTTGTTTTTAGATGAAGAATTCAGTTCTGTGCTTTTCCATTAACAAGTCAAATAAGCAGCCCAAAGGTGTTACCATTTAACCAGTAATTCACTTCTGATTATCACTGCTTGTGCTGGCTGGAGTGCGGGGACTTGCACATAGGTAAGTTTGCCAGAATGACCTGCAAATAACAAGTCTTTAACTTAAGAGAACTTTTGAAGTAGTCTGGTTATTATACAAAAGTAATTAATTGGAATATACCTGTGGTTATTAATACCAATGTTAGATGAACCTTATAGACAGTAGAATCCTCAAATGATAGCACAACTCAAGTCAGACGTGCCAATTAAGTAATTACTAATTAGAGGCTCACACTCTTGATTAAAATGAATCACAATCAGACCAATACTATACAATACACCTACACTTTATAATGTTCTAAGTAAAAAAAAAAAAAAAAAAAAAATTCAGTTTAGCAGCCAAAGCAAGCATGTATTAAGGCAAGAAAGCAGCAAGAAGGCTAACGGTTTTTTGTTGTCTTTTAGAGTAACTCACCAATGTGAATAAGCCTCTAAGCACTTCCTGAAGACTAAAGGTACAGGTACACCAGAATTCTCTGGTGATAGAACATTCAAGAGTTAACTGCAGTAATTTAAATGGCATGCCTGTTTAAGTGTACCAATTCAGTGGATTCTACTGCTCTAATCCTGCTTTCTAAAGCAGACAAAAGAACCATGTGAACAGTAAATAAAATCCAGAGGCATGCAAGTGAACATCCATTCAGCATTCTCTGCCAGCCTATTCCACTGTTCCCTACCTCCTCCATCCCCCCAATCCACCTCCTCCAACCCCCTTGATTGGCTAGTATGCTGCAACAAGTTACTGGTTGCTAGCCAAGTCTCAGAAATCAAAGAAGGCCTATTTTGCAGTTAGTAAAAGCGTTAGTTTATAAGCCGGCTAAAGAAGACTTGCTTTTATAACTTGCTCACAATCTTCTTAAACTATTCCCATTTTTATTTAGCCCTTTCCTAATCCAAAGGCAGACTGAAAATCCTGAATGGAAGGCTGACTTTTACCCATGATTAGTGAGTCAAATCCAGAATGTACTCCACCCACTGCAGCTCTTGCATATCCCGGTTACCTTCACCCTCTTTCATCTGTTCTTCTCTTTCTTCTGTCTCTTCATTAGCAGCTATCTTAACTTTGTCTTCGGGGGATTTCTCAGTAGCCCCCTGGGCTACTTTGGTCTCAACCCCATCTCCAGCTGCCTCAGACTCTTCTGTGGACAGCTTAGTCTCCTGGCTAGGAACCAATTCTGCCCTGACCTCCTCTAGTCCTAAGCCATCTTTTGTTTGTGTGAGTTCTTCTGCAGAAGTCTGTGCTTCAGTAACAGTCTGATCTCCTGCACTTGACAGTCCATTGAGTACACCATCTTTAGGGAGAACTGCAGCCTCCTGCCCAAGTTTCTCAGAGGTTTCTGATCCAGCTCCTGTGGCTGAAGCTTCTGCAGCCTCTGTCACCTCTGGTGACTCTCCAGGAGGTACTTCTTGCCCTATTAGCTGCTCAACAACAGCCTTTCCTGGCTCACTTTCAGAAGAAGTTATATCCTCCTTTGACTCATCCCCATCCACATTCACTGGTTTGACTACTGGATCTAGAGGCCCTGCTACCTCCATTGTAGTGCCCTGCTTTCCTGGGGTCACAACAGGCTGCCCTTCTGAAGCTTCTGGCTTCTCCTCTATGCTCACAATTACTTCTCCCTGCTTTTCCTGAACCCCCTTTTCTCTGCACTCTTCTTGAACATCAGTTCCAGAAACTGATTTTTCCTCCTCAGCATCTGGTTCTTCCTGTTCTGGCTTCCCAGAAATGATCTCAGCTTCACTGAGTCCTTCTGGTTCTGCTGCTCCTTTTGCTGCTTCAGTGGTTTCAGTTATTTGATTTGGAGTTGACTCAACTTTTTCCTGTTGTTCTTCTGAAGGTTCACCTATATCCATATCTTCTCTTCCACCCTTCTCCATTTCACTCTCCCGTTCTTTATCAGTTTCAGGCTTTACCAGAGACTTGTCTTCTGTACTTTTTGTTTCTTCTTTTTCTCCCATGGCGTCATAAACCTGTTCTCTCAACTCTTCCCTTGCTTCCTCTACATGGTTAAAGAACATGAAGCATAAATGTCTTCGAGTTTAATGATAAAGGCATAAATGGAAACTAAACACACATTCCCTTTAAACCCTCAAACAGCCTGCTTAATTTTTAGCAGATGTCCTAAAAATTATCTGCCCCCTTGAGAAAAGCAAAGGGAAAGCCCCAGCTAGCAGAGCAACTTATAGCAAAAGAAACCCAACCTCCATAAATTAGTTTTACTTGAGTATTCTGATTATCAGTTAATAAGAGATGCCAAGCTTTACATTCTCCTTTAAACATTAAAGACCTCCATTTTTGTGTAAAACTCTAATGGCCAAACTCAAGAAATTAAAATTAAAATTTTAAGATACAAGTTAAAAAGCTCCAAAAGCATTGCTTAAAATAACTGAGCTGCACAGACTTAAAATTTTCCATCAGAAAAATGTTAAAGGTTTTTATAGTACTTAGAACATCAATTTAAGTAATCAGACTTATTTGGGAAATTATCCTTTTACAAAAACCTACTGTACGTTTCCGTGACCAGCTACCTTCTCCACTGCAGTCTCCACCATATGCAGGGATGCAGGCACTACCCCAGACATCTTATGAGACCATCCAGGATAGAAAGAGCCCTATTTTCATCACCTGTACACAACACATATATGTCGCATGTCTTGAATATCACATGCAACTCCACATACCATCTATGTTATCATTATTTTCTACCAGAGATTCATCTTCTGTTTTTTCTCCTTCCTCCTCTTCCACATGCACACCTTCCAGGGCATTTCCCAACACACCATTCTCCATTCTAGGAGAACAAAAGGAGAAAGCACCAAAGGTATGATGGCTAGAACCTAACAATTTTTGTAAGACAGAAACTGTAGTCCTATATTACAAGAGCAACTGCAGAGAATATAAACTTGTTAAGTTCTCATGGAAGAAAAGCAATGAATCAAAACTATATAGTAAGTCTATAAAAACACTAAAAGAAATAAGCATATGCTTCATAAAGCCACCTAAAAGCACTGATTAACTCTTGTCAAAAGAATATGGTCAGTATGTATTTCCTTTAAAACAGAACTGGTAAACTTTGCATCACCCACCATTTTTCTAAACAGCCAAAAACATTCTGGCAAGATTTTCATAACAAGTCAGAATGCTTTCTTGATTACAAATTAGAAAATTGCCAGAATGAGATTATAAATAGATGAGATTATTTACTAGTTCCTATACCTTTTAATATACTACATCTGATTAATAAATGCTGGTGGGAAATACATAGACTCCTTTGTCTAATTTACTAGACATTCTTATACAGTACTGTTTCATCATCGTCTTTCATTCAATTGTTTGTTTTTGGGCTCCCTGTTTTTAAAGGTTCTTTCTACAGATTAGACTTTGATCAAATATTGACCATGCACCAAAGGAAAGATTGCTCCTTCTAATAACCCAAAAGTCAAGCACCTTTCAAAACTTCCATCAATATTTCATGTTCCTTCTAACCCCCCTTCTTTAGTAAAACTGTTGTCACTTAGCTCATGTGAAATCTCAAAGTCAGTAAACAGTAGTAGCAAACAAAGGAACTTGAGTTTATAAACAGACCATTAAGGTGATACAAAATACATCTTACTTATAAATTAGTTTTAAAGACATACCTACCTTGCCAACTCCAAAAGTGATTTCCCATAGAAAAAGAAGGCTTCGCCACACTCATTAGCTGTCTCTCCATACTTCTTACCTCTATGAACAAAATAAATATTTAAAATTGAATTAATATGTAGTTCAAAAGTATTTCTAGTTCTTTAGTTATAAAATGACATTTCTCCAGGCCTCCCTGGAGGCACAAGGCGTTAAGACACATCCTGTGAAGCTATCTGCAGCCTCTGCAGCAAGGGTTTGATCCCTGGCCAGGGAGCAACCCACATGGCACAGCAGACCTCTCTCCTGACTCACCTGCTGCTCCCCTCAGCAGTGTACTTCAGTAGATCTGCCCGCTCTGTTCCCCATTTTGTCTCTGGTGAATCCTCCCACCCCCCACACCTCTGGCCTATACCCCAGCTCTTGTATATATAAACAAATCTTAAAAAAAAAAAAAAAAAAAAAAACCTGAAAAAAATGTGACACTTCTCCAGTAATATATCCTTCTAACAAACCAATACACTGCCCTGCCTTGCTTTCAAATTAAGGTCAAAAGAACCGTGCATAATTTTTGTTTACATATATGTTCTACATGATTATCAATTTACTATAATCAGCATATAATTGAAAAGCAAACTAACTCTATGGGTATTAGCAATTAGCAATAGGATGGGCCAGAGAACTTTGGCTAGAACCTAACAGATGAGTGGTGTCCACAGAAAGGAATCATAGTATAGGGTTAAAGAGCATGACTGAGAGGGCCTTCCTGGTGGTGCAAGGGATTAAGTCTCAGCACTATCAGCAGCCACCACATCCAGGAAGCTAACCCACATGGCACAGCAGACCTCTCCTGTCTTGCCTACTGTCCCCCTCAGCAGTGTATTTCAGTGGATCTGCCTTTTCTGCTCCCCACTCTCTCTCTGGTGAATCCTCTCACACATACCCCGTTCCCCTGCACCTCTGGCCTACACCCCAATTCTTGTATGCATAAATAAATAAAAATAAATCTTTAAAATCAGTAAATGACTAGTAATGTAACTTTAAACAAGTTAATCTTAAAGTGTCTTTTTTAAATCTACAAAATGGAAATATTAAGGCTCAAAGAACATTCGTAAGTACTGAGCTTATTTATATTAAAGCATTTAAAACAATGTTCAGATATATGTATAATGCTATCTGTGTTTTAGCTATTATTATCTAGACAGTGAAGAGGAGAAAAAAATAATCACACAAATGTGATAAATGGGAAGGAGATATCTTACGCAGGTTAAGAAACTGGCTTTCAGGCCTCCCTGGTGGCGCAAGGGGTTAACCACCGCACTATGAAGCAATCTGCAGCCTCAGCAGCACGAGTTCGATCCCCAGCCCCCAGCCGAGTTAGATCCCCAGCTGGCCAGAGAGAAACCCACATGGCCAGAGAGAAACCCACATGGCGAAGCAGACATCTCCTGCCACGCCCACTGCTCCCCTCAGCAGTGTATTTCTATTTCAGTCCATCTTCCTGTTCTGCTCCCTGCTATGTCTCTGCTGAATCCTCTCACCCCCTCCCCACCCCCGCATCTCTGGCCTGTACCCCAGCTCTTATAAGCATAAATAAATAAATCTTAAAAAACAAAACAAAACAAAACAAAACAAAAACTACTTCCTAGGCAGCTATGAGAATTAAAAAAGAAAGAAAGAAACTGGCTTTCACGGAGTAAATGGTTGGCATAAGTCATACAAGGTCAAAAAAGTCTACTAAGAGTAATAAGAGAAACTAAGCAGAAATTATGATTAAGGTTATGTTTAAAAATACATTTCAAGGGCCTCCTCTGGTGGTGCAGCAGTTGAGCGCTGGGCTGCGAAGCTGCCTGCAGCCCCTGCAGTGCCGGTTCGATCCACAGCCCCCGGCAAGGGTCCCACATGGTGCGACAGACCTCTCCTGCCGCGCCCACTGCTCCCCTCAGCAGTGTATTTCATCAAGTCTCCTGTTCTGTTCCTCACTCTAGCGAATTCTCTCACCCTCCTGCACTTCTGACTGTACCCAAAGCTTGTATAAATAAATAAATAAATAAATAAATAAGCCTTTTTAAAAAAAAAAAAAAGATAAAAGAATACTTTTCAAAATTTTCTCCCAAATACCCTTCACGGCAGGACAGTGAAATTATTAGATCTCTCTAGGAATCTGGGAGGAATAAGCTAAGACATGTTTATCTGTGCTTAATCTTAAAAACTTAATTTTACCACTATATAACACTTTTGAAGCATTAAAAGCTAACCTAACTCCCCACTCCCAAAGACAAAAATGTATGGCCAATTCATGGTAGATTCCAACTTCCAAGCAGCTGCAACTGATAATTATGATGCTAAGAATTTATGGGAAAAAATATTGTACTAAGAATAGCAATAGAAGTGGGGTAACCAACCATTATGGCTTGCTTGGGCTGAGGAGTTCCCTAGGACACAGAATTATCATGAGTTAAAATTGGAGAAGTCCAAGTAGGGACAAGCTGGTCACCCTAATTAGTAATGACTAGAAAACAAATGCCCTGTGCCTCAGGAAATTCAAAGGCTGACATTGCTCACTTATACGTATATATTTTAGTTACAGAAATAAGACAATCAGAGCTTTTAAAACCTTCAACTCTTTTTCGCCCATGAAAAAAACTTTCTATGACTCAAATTTATTAGAAATTGTATATATCACATCATAGCTGAAACAAGCACTTACAAAAGACTGGCTGCTTCCTGGAATGCATTCACAGCTCCTGGAATATCACCCATCACCAGATGTTTCTGTCCTAAACCCAGTAGTTTCTTTGCTTCACTATCCACATCCAGACTGCAAGAAAGATTTTTTCCAAATGTCAAATACTATTAACATCAACATTTTTCAAATACTTGCTGCATTTAAATCTACAATTTGAGGCCTCCCTGGTGGTGCAAAGGGTTAAGCATCAGCACTACGAAGCTATCCGAAGCCACTGCACCATGAGTTCATGAGTTTGATCCCTGGCCAGGGGAGGTGACCCACACAGCGAAGTAGACCTCTCCTGTCTTGCCCCCTGCTCCCCTCAGCAGTGTCTTTCAGTAGATCTGCCTGTTCTGCTCCCCATCCTGTCTCTGGTGAATCCTCTCACCCCCCCACACCTCTGGCCTGCACCCCAGCTCTATATGCATAAATAATTGTTAAAAAAAAATCTACAGTTTTAAAAAAAAATTCTACAGTTTAAACTTTTGAACTACTCTGGCAAGGCTTAGCTAGCTCACACTTATCACTATAAAAGCAAAAGTAATCTCATAGGCAACATTCTCAGAGAAAGTTTCCTCTTAAAGATTTATCCACTCACACTGCCTACATAGTATGTTACTGTAAATATTCGCTAATTAAGTAACATATGAAAGAAATCATAAAAGAATCAAATTCATACTAGCTAAAACATTAATTCAAGAAACATTTAGATAACTTGTTATCTATTAAAAATAATGAAACTGCCCTCAAGTTATACAGCTTAGTTTATATATGCTAGATATAAATCTAATTTTATCATGTATATAATCTTACCTCTCTACTTTATCTGCAGAAGTAGAAGGAGCAGGAACATCTTCAATTCTGTAATGAAAAATAGAGAAAAAAATTACAATGCAGGTTGTTTTAAGCCTGGAAAAGTAAAGTATTTGTATACTGCAATATATGCATTCTTGCAAAACTGCTCACTAAAAATGACTTAAATATTTCCCAGAACATTCATTTTTGAAAAGTTCCAATAAATACTGCTAAAACAATTCATAGTATGTATACTTAAAGGTCTAGAAGTAATAACCAACTCAGTAGTAATGAGTATTCCTTAATCTCCAGACTGCTTCAGAAAATCCACTTCCCAATGAAAGAAGTAAGACTTCATGGGCCTCCCTGGTGGCCTAAGGGTTAAGTCTCCTTGCTATCACCACCAAAGCTTGAGAGAGTTCAATCCCTGGCCAGAGAACTAACCCACATATAGCATGGCAGACCTTTCCTGTCTTGCCCTCTGTTCCCCTTAGCAGTATATTTCAGTAGATCTGCCTGTTCTGCTCCCCACTCTGTCTCTGGTGAATCCTCCTCTCACCCCCTGCACCTCTGGTCTACACCCCCAGTCCTTCTATGCAACCAATCAATCAATCAATCAATAGCTAAATATTACAGGGACTATATTTAGCATCTAGTCAATGATTACTGATGTTGTTTAAATGGCATGAAGGGGGGAAGGTCAGGTTGAGGCAGGATGAACAAACCTGTGTAACTTTCACTACACAACTATCATGTGATCTGATGACCAGGAACTGAGATCTTATACATCTTTGCAACTCGAAAACCTAACATGAAAAATATTTCCTAAATGAATAAGTAAACAGAAGGGAAGAAAATGGAGACCAAGGATGTAGATTACATCTAAAGAAGTTTGGCTATGGGGCCTCCCCGGCGGCGCAGCGGTTGAGCGCTGGGTTGTGAAGCTGCCCGCAGCCTCTGCAGTGCTGGTTCGATTCCCGGCTGCTCCCTGGCCACCGAAGGAGGGTCCCACATGGCTCACAAACCTCTCTTGCCGCCCGCTGCTCCCCTCAGCAGTGTGCTTCGGTCCTTCTGCCTGCTCTGCTCCCCGCTCTGGCTCTGGTGAATTCTCTCACCCTCCCGCGCGCTTCTGACTGTACCCAGTGCTTGTATGAATAAACAAATAAATAAATAAATAAAATCTTTTTTTTTTTTTAAAGTTTGGCTATGAAGAGAAGAAGCAAACACAAGTAGCTAAATAGATTTACATGTGATAGATAAAATATTTTAAAATGCACCCCTTTTAGGATGCTTGAATGCAGAGAAGACAGTGCTATGTAAAGGGAGGAAAAGGCACCAAAAGACCAGTTAGTTGCTGCTAGACAACTAGATAGGAGATAAACACAAATCTCCAGTTATTTTTGATCTACAAGGTTATGTTTCTAACATAAACCCTAACTCTGGGAAGAAAGTATTCTCATTTTTTTTTAACTGAAGTACCAATACTCTGGCCATCTATTCTATGTAAAACACCTGAAGAAAACATACAATAGCACTCACTAGACTTGCTTTATTAGGACACCACTGGCAATCCTACTGCATTCCCTAGAAAACTCATCCCAAGTCTCCAAAATTACGATTTCTCTCCTCAAATTCCCTATACCATTCTGTACTCCTTTACTTCTAGGCAGATGTTGCACTGCCACTCACTCGCTGCTCCCCTCAGCAGTGTATTTCAGTGGATCTGCCTGTTCTGCTTCCCACTGTCTCTGGTGAATCCTTTCATACCCCACACTTCTGACCTGTACCCCAGTTCTTGCATGCATAAATAAACAAATCTTAAAAGGGCCTCCCCGGTGGCGCAAAGGGTTACACACCACACTATGAAGCAATCCGCAGCCTCTGCAGCAGGGAGCAACCCACATAGTGCAGCAGATCTCTCTTGGCTCGCCCACTGTTCCCCTCAGCAGTGAATTTCAGTTAGTCGGCCTATTCTGTTCCCCTGCTCTGTCTCTGTTGAATCCTCTCATCCCCCGCATCTCTGGCCTGTACCCCACCTCTTGTATGCATATGTAAATCTTTAAAAAAATAAATCTTAAAAAAAAAAAAAGATTTCTCACACATTCTTACTACAACACTAGTTCATCATAAACCCATGAAGCCAATTCACAAGGTTATCGTACTGTATCTTAAACAGGAAAATACTAATAAGTACCAACACTCTAAGCCCCATACACTGAACAAGCCACTGTGGAAACAAATGGCAAACCTCAGAACTTTAAGGAATAATTAAGACCACTTGTTCTAAAAACCACATACTTCTAAAAACAAAGCTAAGGTATTATAAAACTAAACCAAAATTCAATACACCACTTAAGACTTCCTCTTTCTCTACTTTCTCAACTTTCCTTTCTTCAACTCAAGCTTCTATATTCTTTATCTCTCATAACAAAAAGGTTAATAAGTACTACGCAGGATTCTAAAAATGATAAAACTTACCATTTGGACATTATTACCTCAAGCAACGTTATTTAAATGACATGACAGAAACCAAGTGAAAACTTTTTGCAATGACAAATTGTGATCCAACATCACTATTTAGGCAATGAAGCCAGTATCAAAATCAACTCGGAATTGAGGTTTATTTCTCATTCCATTTTCCCCCCTATACTGGCTTACATGTTTTGTTCTTTCAATGATTATATTAAAATAATTATCAGTCTTATCAAAATCTAAACTCAAGTCATTTTCTTTACCCTCCCCTTCATACCTGTGTGCCCCACCAGCACACTTAATGGAGGAATGCAGTCTATATTGTCCTCTCAGATTAGTTAATGGTTTTCATGCACTATCCGCTCAACTAAGCTTTTCTATGTGTTACAGAATTTAAAAAGCTAAGGTTCAATCCAGACACTACCACTTAACTGGAAATTATTTCTCCATTCCAACCTTGACTTCTCACAATACTCATAGGGCTCAAATGAAAGCATTTTTTAAAAAGCACAATGCACACAATTGCTAGGCTTTAGTTTGCAATTTAAGGTAAGAACTTAGTATTTTATTTTTCTAGAGGCACATACATAAACTGCCAGGAAGATGGAAATTAGTTCAATATTAATTTAACTTTGGCTAGACACAAACGATATCTGAAAATCTGCAAGGGATACACACAGCATAATTTTATCTTAAGAAAAAAAATACAGCATTTATATATTGTAGAGTGAGGATCATCCAAGTGGAATGACTGCTAGAGTTGACTCTAGCATCATAAAATGGTATTCTGAGTATCAATCTCAAATAAGGAGCTCTTTACCACTTACAAACCTAATCTACCCTAATCCTATCAAATCAACAGGCAAAAAAAGCTGAAAAAGTCTGAAATTAAAAAATTTATTTCCCAAGCGATTCTAAGGGTAGTTTGTGAACCAAAGCTCAACATGAATCCACCAGGAAATGACTCCAAAAGGTGATAGGTAGTACAGATAGAAGAAAATCTCTGGTCATTATCAGTGCATTAGTACAAACTTAGTTCAAATTCATAGAGGATCAATCATAACCTCACAGCAACCTTTCCTCTTACAGCGAAGGACGCTAACTTCCTAAAGTGCAAGTGCACAATAAGGGAAAAACCAGACCCTAAAAAATGAGTGGAAAACCTGTTTCTTCCAATTAATGGAATTTACCCTTCAATGTTAAATATCTCACATGTGACACTGTGCCTCTTCCAAACCTATCCTATCTCCTCTCATTTCTCCAGTCCTTCCATCACACTTCGTACATACTCCTGCCCCTTCACCTAGCAACCAAACACAGCTGGGAATTGAGGAGCGTTCCACGCATCAGTAGATAAACTCAGTGTCCTCCTGAACCAGCCAAGCCTCCTCTCCCAACACCCTCAAAGTCTCAAGAAAACCATGATTATCTCCATCACAGCTCGAGGAACTAGGCTAGTCGAGGGTAAGGCGGCACGAGGTGAGCCGGAGACCGGGGGATGCAAGGTTCACCGCGCCCCTCTGCGGAAACCCCAGGAGCTGGCGGCGCCGCAGTCCCAAACAATGGAGTTTTCGCGCCTCCTCGGGGCCCCGCCCCCCGGCGCGCAGCCGGCGGCGGGCAGCCAACGCTCGCACGCAAGGCCCCGCCTCCGGAGGCCCCGCCCCCCGTCGACCCCACGGGTCCAACCTCCTTCCTCGTGCGGGTTTTTTTTTTTTTTTTTTTTTTTTTTTTGGCGCCAAATCTGTTGGTTGTTTCCCCTGGTTGTCTGGAGACCCTACTGGAGGCGTGCGCTAAGAACACTGGGGCAGCAGGCGCTTGAAGGAGCCCCGGGCGCCAGGGCCCCGCCTCCCCGCCGACAGCCCCGGGTCGGGGGAGGAAGGAGAGGGGCAGGCGATGCAAACAGCCGCCGCTGCCCCCGGCAAGATGGCGGCCGCGAAAGCCGGGCAGGGGGCGCCAGCCGGCCGGCGTCACAGCCGATGCGCCAGGGTCTCCGCGAAGGGTGGACTTTTCCAGCGTCCGGGCCTCCCGGAACGGGGACGGCCGCTCACCGAGAGGTAAGCTCTCCGCCCACCGGTCCGTCCCTCCTGGGGAGACCCTCACACCACCCCTTCCCCGAAGACCGGCCAGCGTCTCCGGCTTCCTAGGGTCCAGCTTACTTGTCGGCGGAAATCAGCTCCGCGGTGATGGCGGCAGTGGCTGTGGACTCTGCGGCCATCGTTCCCCTGAGGTGATGGGACCAGCCGGTGGAACAGAGCCTGTGAGGAAAACAGGGAATTTAGGACGCCAGAGACCTACTCGGAGACAGAAAATGGCAGATTGGAGACCCCGCGCGGCTGGGGCCCTCTTATATACCAGGGCCCTTCGCCCCGCCCATCAACTTCCGGACCCGCCTCCTGAAGTTTAAAGGGCCAGGACTCAGCTGCGGTCAAACCAACAACATCCGCACCCTCCCAGTCTTGTCCTGAGGGGTACCTTCCCTCCCTGTCTCGCCTTCCCCCCACAAAAGCAACTTCCTGCTTCTCCAGCTAGTCGCTACGAAGAACTGGACTCTGGGTTCTATAACTCCTGTCTGGGCGTCAGCCAGCGGCTTCCACAGAAGGGGAAACTAGTGCAGCTCTGCATGTTTGCAGCGAATGGTCAAGGATCACTCACCGGCCGGGATGCTCGGGGGATCCCTGACACTTTCTGCCTAGTTCTCAGTTGTAACGGATGGAAACTCACAAGCCAAGTTCGGACGGCTACAGCAGCAACGGCTAGAATTGATCTCGGTGAGAGACGCGTGGCTCTACACCTCAGTAACAACTGACGTAAGAAGATGCTGTCCGGGTATTGGCTGCCGCCGAAACTACCGCGCTAGGGATTCAAAGTTCAGAGCTGCAGCTCAAGGCGGCTGGCTCCTCCCTCTGGACCGTCTGCTGGCCCAGCCCTCTAACGCCATCCTCTTAAATCCTATCCAGACTCCAGATCTGACTAGCTCTGTGCTCCCAGCACGGAACTGCGATCTATCTATCATTTGCCCACTTCGTACGTGGGTACCGTGCTTTAAAGCTATTAGCGTGTTATTTAACCGTAGCAGTTCTGCTGGTGAGATCGATGCTGTCAGCCCCACTTGGTAGAAACAGAAACCAAGGATCAGGGGAGGTGTGTCTTGCTCAGAAAGTTGCCAGACAAATCTGTTATGGAAAGCAGTGTGCATCGTTGTCTGCAACTGACTGAGTGGTAGACAACTGGCAGGGTGAAATGGTTTTACTTCTTCACATTCCTGGAACGTCATCCATTGCCTTCCACCATGGCCTTGCCGATAGTGATTTTATAGAACAGGACTTTTATTTCCGTTCAGATTTGGGCACACTGGGAAATATTACAGTATGTCAAAGCTCGGGCATCAAATCCTTGATGGAACAGAGCTGGATCTGAAAATACCAATTCTAAAAGCAACAACAAATGAAAATGCCAATTCCTTTGGCAAACAGACATGGACTACCTATTAGTAACTGGGTGAGCTACACAAACACATGCAACCTTATAGGGCCAAATGTCAAATGAGAACAATGTTAGTGTCCGCCCCCAAGATGGGAGAATTAGAGGTAATGCTTCAACAATCAGCATGGTGCCTGATTTAAGCTAACTACTCTTTAAATGGTTACCACAGTCTAATAATGTGTGTGGTGACTAGAGCATTAGGGTGGGGAAGAGGGGAGATCTCTCAGAGTCCTTGTAATCAAGGCTAAGGCCTGTAAAACACAGTCCAGTACCTTGTGTGACCCGCTCATCTATTAAACTAGTATTCACTGAGGAACGATGCACAAAGCTTTGTACTAGGTTAAGAGACAGTCTTCAGGCCTCCCTGGTGGCGCAAGGGGTTAAATCTCAGCACTATGAAGCTATCCATAGCCACTGCAGCACTGTTCTGCTCCCCACTCTATCTCTGGTGAATGCTCCCCCCAACCTCTGGCCTACACCCCAGTTCTTGTTTGCGTAATAAAATAAATCTTTAAAAAAATGTAGGGCCTTCCCTGGTGGCTCAGCAGTTGAGCACTGGGCTGCCGGCAGCCTCTGCAGCGCCAGTTCGTTCCCTGGCTGCCGGCGAGGGTCCCACAAAAAGAAAAAAAAAAATTAATACATCCCTCCTTTTTGCAAGAATACTTGAGGACTTCATAGTTTTCCCAAAGGTCTTCCTTAATACTTTGATTTTTTTTTAAAGATTCATTTATCTATGCATTCAAGAGCTGGGGTACAGGCCAGAGATGCGGGAGGTGAGAGGATTCACCAGAGACAGAGTGAGGAACAGAACAGGCAGACTGACTGAAATACACTGCTGAGGGGAGCAGCGGGTGAGTCATGAGAGGTCTGCTGAGCCATGTGGGGATAGAGGTCTGCTGGCCAGCTGGGGATAGAACTTGTGCTGCAGAGGCTGCAGATTGCTTCATAGTGGAGTTTAACCCATTGCACCACCAGGGAGGCCCAATACTTTGATATTATAAACATCCTCTTTTGAAGTCCAGCATCCTCATTTTGGTTTTCTGTTTCAGTTGTCAGAGCCTTTCCCAACATCACTTTCACTTGTATTGCTTTTTTAAAAATTTTATTTTTATTTATGCATAAAAGAACTGGGTGTAGGCCAGAGGTGCGGGTGGGGGTGTGGGGGTGGGGGGTGTGGGGGTGGCAGTTGAGAGAACTCACCTGAGACAGAGTGGCGAGCAGAACAGGCAGATCTACTGAAATACACTGCTGAGGGGAGCAGCCAGTGAGACTGGAGTGGTCTGCTGCGCCATTTGGGTTAGCTCCCTGGCTGGGGATTGAACTCAGGTTGCAGTGGCTGGGGCAGTGGCTGGCGATAGCTTGATACCGTTGAGACTTTAACCCCTATGCTACCAGAGAGGCCCCACTTTCATTGCTTTGTAAAGTATTCTGAAAGATTTGCAATTTGCAGAAGATCTGAAATCTTCTGAAAGATTTGCAATTTCACTTTGCAATTTCACTTTGCAATGGACAGGCACTAAAACTGCCCAGTGATTAAATGACAATATCAATAGTCAAATGCTAATGTTAAGCAGGATGTGAGATGTTTGAGTCAAGAATAGTTTTTAAGGGCCTCCCAGGTGGCGCGCAGCAGTTGAGCGCTGGGCTGTGAAGCTGCCTGCAGCCTCTGCAGCGCTGGTTCAATCCCTGGCCACTGGGCGAGGGTCCCACATGGCACGCAGACCTCTCCTGCTGCCCTCTGCTCCCCTCAGCAGTGTACTTCGTCAGTCTGCCTGCTGTGCTCTCCCCTTTGGCTCTGGTGAATTCTCTCACCCTCCCGTGCTTCTGACTGTACCCAGTGCTTGTATAAATAAATAAATCTTAAAAAAAAAAAAAAAGAATAGTTTTTAAGCAGCTCTCCTAAGACTGCCCACCTGTGTCTATGCAGGCATCTCTTTGAACAAACCTGTCCCTTTCTGGCTCACCTGCCCACCTGTATTATGCAGGTGCCTCTCTTTTTTGCCTATTTCTAATAAACCTGCTCTTCTAAAATGTAAAAAAAAAATAGTGTTTAAGTAGTCAGTTTATTAGGAATTTCATATTAAGACAAGTTTTGCTTTCTGATATGGGCTGAATGGTTTCCTTTCCCCTCAAGTTCACATTCTTAGTTCCCTTAATCCCAAGTATCTTCAAATATAACTGTACTTGGAGACAAACTCTTCAAAGGGATAATTAATTTAAAATGAGTTCACCAGGAAGGGCCCTAGTCCAACATTACTGGTGTCCTTACAAGAAGAAATTTGAAAACAGATGCATAGATAATATAAAGACACAGGGAGAGGATGGTAATCTGCATGCCAAAGAGAAAGGCCTGGACCAGATCCTTCCCTCAGGATCCTCAGGATACCTTATCTCAAAATTCTAGTTTCCAGATCTGTGAGAAGATAAATTTCTGTTATTTTAACCCACCATTCTGTGGTTGTTATGGCAGCCCTAACAACCTACTTCATTACTGCGGAAATCTGAATCACAAAACTGTGTGACAGCTATGGAATTACTAAGTAAGTCACCTGGGGTGGGTGGATGTCCCAGAGGAAAAGACAGCTAAACTGAAGATTTAAGTAGCAGGTATTAGTCCCCACAGTGGGCTAAGGGATCCAAAGGATTGTACCAGATAGGAAGGATCGATGACAAAATACTAACTTCCGACATGCCTCCTTCCCTCACTGTTCACCGTGCTAACCCATTTTTCCCACTGCACCAGGATTGTGTTCCTAAGACATAAATTATGTCATGTTATTCCTACCCCAAACCTCCATTGCTTTCTGCTGCATTCAGGATAACACAAAATCTTAACCTAGTCTCCTAGGCCTCCACCACCAGGCCTCTAATTTCAGTACTATGTATGCCATTCCACCCCCACTCACTTTCAGTTCTTCTCAGACAAGCCTTCTTTAGGTTCTTCCAGCAGTTCTTCCAGTGTCAAGGCTTCTCCCCCAACAAGCTATCCAATTTGGATGAAAGAGGATTCCTACTCTTACCCCTTGTAACTAATTAATCCCATCCATGCTTTAGATCTCGGCTGAATGAATCAGCAGCCTGTGCTTTTTCATAGCACTTCTCTACACAACTGTAATTAAACTAATTAAGCAATTACTTTAAAGTCTCTTCAGATAGATTGTAGGGACTAGATTATAGCTATACCCCCAGGGTCTAGCTATAATTATTATTGTGTCTAACTCATGTAAGCACCCAATAAATACCTGTTGAATGAAGAGAAGTGGCTCAACCAGAAAACTAAAATGAGTGTCATATGACTGGAGTTTATTGGGATTTCCCAAAAACTCTTAAAATTGGTTATTAATGACATCTGGTGAAACTATGAGGTGTCTAAGATAGGACCTTAGGTACAGAATGACAAGCCTGGGGAAGTCTCTGCCTCTTTATACACTGTAGTGTCTTAGAGAAATAATCCCTGTCTTGCAAACTAGAACTCCCAAACTTCTGAATGTTTTGTTGTTGCTGTTAAAAGTCCTAAATCTAGGCACTAATCAGGGTGTTATGGGAACTCAAGACCCAGGTTTAGTAGTGCCATAAACCACAGGATTCTTATTGCCCTGATCTTAATCCCGAGGTGATCCATTTTTAGCATTCTTGGTAAAACAAGCCACAGGTGCAGTGCTACGAACCGCCAGTAGATGGAGCTACTTCACAAGCACACATACTTCAGGAACACCAGAAGAGGAATTGAGGTACACAATGGTTCTCAAGATAAGGAAGTTCTGGCTCAGGGCAAGTCACACTCAGCGTCCCTAGGTCTGGTGTTCCTAAGGGAAAAAATGTCAATTCTAGGTTTGACCAGAAAAATAAGACAAGCAGGCAGTATAGATGCTCCAGTGACTTTATTAATTCCCTCTTACTGGGGATGGAAGGACTTTGTGGCTAGAGAACTGGAAAGGAAGACAGGAAGCTGTGTGGGTCTCAGTATGGATCATTAAAAGGGTACAGAGGGTGCCCGGCATCTCTTGGGACCCTCTTACCATCCACCTGGAAACAGAGACAGACAGAGGATTCTATTAGCAGGGACTGACATTCCAAAGTTACAGGGCATCTTTTCCCAAATCTTCAACAACCTCACCCATTTTCAGCACTATGTCAGATGACAGGGAACCGGTTCTAGCCTTATAGAATACAATGACACAGTACTCACAGCATTAACAGCATTCTAGCACCAACCCATAACCTGGTATGTAACTGACTTTCTCCTAAGAGTTTTCAATCTCAGCTGGGATATGTACTTCAACCCAACCTCAAACTCTCTAACAAGATTGAGAATGCCTTCTAGACTCCCATTACTTATATCATTTACTGAGAGCTTACTAAACCTCAGTAACTGGGATTTTTGTACAGATAGAAGCTGAGGTTTGAGTAGTTAAATAACTTGTTCTAGTTAACAAGATATCGAGAGGCAGTACTGGGTCTCACAAGCTATAAGCCCTATCCTTGGTATGGCTCAATAAATAGAAACAAGCTTAAAAAAGAGAAAAAAGCCCGTTGTGTCCAGAACAGCAATCTCACCAACAGTAAGCCTTCTTCCCCTCCTCTGACAAGGCTGAGGCCACACATGAGGTAGAATTCTGTCCAAATCTCACACTCCCTGACTCTGGGGATGATAACACTCACCGTAAGCATGGGTATGATGAATCTGCAATTTTTATTCAGGGCATCTATCTGCTTCATCTCTTCTGGGCTAAAGGTGAAGTCAAACACCTGGGGACAGGGGTAAGAAGTAGGGGTCAGGAAAGATAGCTTTGTGAATGAAAGCTGTGGTTCCAGAACACTGCCTTCTTAGTCAGGGCCAGTCAGGGTCAGACTGTCCCCGTGGGCTAAAGAAGACAGGATGGCAGCTTCAAGATTGGTGAACATGAGAAGATATGGGGAATGTAGTGTGCTGAGAGACCATGGAAGTTCCATGCCCCCTCCATATACCTTGCCTTGGTGTATGGAAACCCACCACCACCTGTATCCTCTGTCATAGTCTTTTATAATAAACTGGAAACCCAGTTTTGAAAAAAAGAGAAAACAGGACCCATCAACAAGTACCTGGATGTTCTGAAGAATACGGGAAGGCGAAACACTCTTAGGGATACTGACCACTCTCCGCTGGACTTGCCACCTAAGGTGGGAGGTAGAGCAGGATGAGGAAGAGGAGTCAGTACTCACAAGCATTGTTCAGTCCTCCATGGAGCCTTCTCAAACTTCTGGGAGCCCCTAAGTCCCACTTCCCACTGGATGAGGAACATACCTCAGGGTGGCCTTCCCTAGATCATGTGGCAAAATTCTCAGCCTCATCCAGGCTCTTGGATAAGGAACCCCTCAACCCTTGCCTCCCAAACCAGGAGCCCTTCCCCTGATCCAAGTTCATTTTTCCAAGATTGCATGCACCTGAGCAAGATCTGAGCTGGAGATCGGTTATACTTTTTAGCCAACGCCAGGATCACTGGCTCCTCAAGCAGGACAGGTTCATTTGGATCACGCCAAGCACGATCAAGGGAGCCCAGAGGGCTGTAAGCAGTCACCTCCAGACCTCGGGCATGGCAGTGGGCAATCAGTTCACTCTGAGACAGGTATGGGTGGCATTCCACCTGAGTCAAGAAACAACTCATCACCATGGGTTGGTCATACCCAACTCAGCTTATCTGGCCCCACCCAAACATCCTGCTTGGATCACCCTTAACTCCGCTCAGCCCACTTTTCTCACTGTTTCCCACTGGCCATCTCAATCTCTTCTCACACTTCAATGCCTTTTTCAACGCAAAGGATTTCCTCATCAGTATTTCTAACAATTTGCAAACCAACTCCAGGAAGAAGACCCATCGATGATCTTTTCACTCCTGCTCTTGTGCCTACACCCCTAAACCAACTGCTCTCTTTGTTGTGCTCACCTGAAGAACAGCTGGGCGCACAGAAGCCACACTGAGCACATCATCAATCTGCCGGCTACTGAAGTTAGACAGGCCCAGCGCCCGCACCAGCCCCTTTGTCACCAGGGCCTCCAGAGCCTTCCAGGTCTCCTTGTAGTGGATGGAGTCATAGCGGATAGTCCCATCATCATTCTTAGGGAAGGGGTTGTCTCCTTGCCTGAGTAAAAGAGTAAAAGTCAGACAACCTCCCCTCCCCCCAGAGTGGGCACAAATGCCAGGCTCCTGGCTTACTGCCCATTTATCTACTCTATATCTCATAATCCAAGCCTAAGGAGAACAAAGGGCCAAGACTGAGTTACAAGCATCGTTTTTCACCTTTCTAGATCATGATCCAGGTGTTAAGTCTTTATGGAATCCTTCCACCTCAGGGAATTGCATGCTTCTGCAGCCTTCTTCCAACATATGTCACTGAGTTCCTTTCATATCCTTTGCCAGAGCTTGTTATTTACTACAACCCTAACGGCCCAGCTTACAGAAGCTAGTACATGTTGCCTACATGAATAAAAGAAGCAGGAGGGGCCAAGCAAGCTCACTCTAGAATACATACCATGTGAAGCTGCACTCCCTTTTCTGTAGCTAAATAGCTGCTGTAGCAGAAAAGGCTGAGACCCTAAGACAAGCTCCTTACTTGCCACACAGGTGAGGATTCCTCTCCTACTCTGCTATTCTCACTTATGATAAATTACTAACAAGACCGCCCAAGCCCCAACTCCCTGAATGAAGACCCTGGGGCAAGGCTCACTCAAAGGCATAAGGCCAATGGATCAGGTACAGGTCCAAATAGTCCAGCTGGAGGTCAGCGAGTGTCTTCCGAAGGGCAGGCTCCACATCTTCGGCATGATGCTTGGTGTTCCACAGCTTGGATGTCACAAAAACCTCTTCCCGAGGCACTGCCTGGTGCAGGAGGCAGAGGCCACCATGAGAAGACCCAGGGGCACACAGTCTTACATGCCCTTACTTCTGGGGGAAGAACTAAAAGGAAGTTGATACCAGAGTCCTCTAGCCAGGTCCAGCCCCAGCTTCTGAGCTCTTCCTCCACCCTTTTATAGCCCCAAATCTTACCTTGCCTGGTCCCACATTCTCCTTCAGGGCCTCCCCGATCTCAGCCTCATTGCCGTAGATAGCAGCACAATCAATGTGGCGGTAGCCTACACTCAGGGCATACTTAATAGCTGCTTTTACCTGCCAGGTGAGAGAAGCAGAGATTTCAGCTCTATTGATCTAGACCAGAAACTGCCCTACAGGGGTGGGGGTTGGGGAATAGTCATCCAAGCAATGATTCCAGTCCAGGTTACCAGAAGCCTCTTCAGATGCCCCAAACCCTTTGTCTTTACCCCACCAACATCCAAGGCTCCTTCCTACCTAAGCCATCTCAGTCATCCCAGCAAAAAACTAACAATATGCTCCCAGCATCTAGCATAAAGAAGACTTCAGTAAGTATGTTTTGAATCAGAAGATGAGTGGATAAATTAACAAAAGTATAGGTTAGAGACAAATCCTAGCCTAAGGCACTGCTTACGGAAAGGTGACACATAGATAAATAATTCCTAGGCCAGGGCCACACAGAGATACCCTCAGGAAGCCATGTAACCAGTGGCAGTTCCAGGAGCTCAGGTGAGCAAAAGAGGTGAGAAGGAGAGAAAATTAAGGAAAGCAGAGAAGATGGAAACTGGGTCCAGAGTCTCCTGAAAGAGAAAAAAAAACACCCAGTAGGAGAATGGGTCTGTTAATTTGCTAAAAACACTAGAAACCTGGGCCTCTCTGGTGGCTCAGGGGTTAAAGTCTCAGCACTATAAAGATATCCCCAGTCACAGCACATGAACTTGACCCCCAGCCAGGGAGCTAACCCATATGGCACAGCAGACCTCTCCTGTTTCGCCTGCTGCTCCCCTCTGCAGTGTATTTCAGTAAATCTGCCTGTTCTGCTCCCCACTCTGTGGTGAATCCTCTCACCCCCTGCACCTCTGGCCTACACCCTGGTTCTTGTATGCATAAATAAATAAAAATAAATCTTAAAAAAAATTATTTTTAAAAAAAGATTTATTTAGGGCCTCCCCTGGTTGGCGCAGGTGGTTGAGTGCAGTGCTGTGAAGCTGTCCGCAGCCTCTGCAGTGCCAGTTCAATCCTGGCCAGCCAGCGAGGGTCCCACGTGGTGCAATAGACCTCTCCTGTCTCTCCTGCTGCTTCCCTCAGCAGTGTATTTTGTCAGTCTGCCTGTTTTGTTCCCCACTCTATCTCTGGTGAATCCTCTCACCCTCCCACGAATCTGGCCTGTACCCTGGTTCATGTATAAATAAATTCTTTTTTAAAAAAGATTTATTTATTTATGCATACAAGAGCTGGGATATAGGCCACAGGTTGGGGGGTGGTGCCAGGGGTCACCTCCCTGGCTGGGGATCGAACTAGTGCTGCAATAGCTGCAGATTGCTGATGCTTAACCCCCTGCGCCATCAGGGAAGCCCCTTAAAAAAAAAACCACACACTAGAAACCTGGCATCAGAAGTAGAACAAAGGGTGCCAGGCTCTTGACATTCAATATCCCAATCAAGGTACAGTTCCTACTATTAAAATGTACTCCCTGTGGGGTCTCCCTGGTGGCCCAAGGGGTTAAGCACCACATTATGAAGCAATCCGAAGCCTCTGCAGTACGAGTTAGATCCCCCGCCCACCAGGGAGCAACCCACATGGTGAAGCAGACCTCTCCTGTCTCGCCCGCTGCTCCCCTCAGCAGTGTATTTCGATTAGTCTGCCTGTTCTGTTCCCCGCTCTGTCTCTGGTGAATCCTCTCATCCCCCCGCATCTCTGGCCTGTATCCTAGCTCTTGTATGCATAAATAAATAAATCTTTAATAAATAAATAAAATGTACTCCCCTCACACTGACCCTATCTCTGCTACTCCATGCCCCTCGTCTTGGCCCTGACTCTGACCTTCACCTAGCGTGGACTTGTCCCAGGTCATGTTAAGTGCCTGCTGGGAGCACAGAGATCCCAGCACCAGGGTCCTAAGCAGTTTGCTACATAAAAGAAAACAAAAGGGAAAATGGCAAAGGTCATCCAACCACACCATAAATACCAGCCTAAGTTCCAGAGAAGAGGCTGTTCTCCCAAACAATCCCCAAACTAAACTCTTACTCAGATTTATAAGGAACAAAGAAGCTGCCTTAGGGAGATGCCTCACCCCAGGTGGGAGCTGAATCTCTAGTTGTGTCAACTGTGGGAAAGCAGGGCTCCATTCCAGGTTCTCCAAGGCTGAAAGGATCTGTAAACTATATACTATAATGACCAGGGGTCAGTAGTTAAACTTTGGTAAGCAACTACCATCTGTGTGTGTATGTGTGTGTGTGCTTCAGTCCACTGGGCTAAGAATAATCTTTTACATCTTTAAGTGGTTACATAACTATGTAATTACCTCCACTTTGTAACTAGCCCAGCAAAATCTAAATTATTAACCATGAGGTTCTTAAAGAAAAATTTTGCTAGCCTTTGGTTTATATGGTTGATCTATTACTCTTCAAACCCTGACACCTGCTATGTGCCTAACTCCAGACTGAGCACATAGGAGAAGCTTAGTCCTCAAGGAGCTCATGTGGGGGAAACATGATCGCAGATGCCAGGGAAGGGGCTCTTCCTCTGCCCTTGGTTCTGGTGGTCCCCTAGCGCTTCCTCTGAGTTTCCTGGGGAAGCCAAGGGCATATTATTTATTGATCCCTTTCCCCTTTTCTCTGCACAACTGTAATAAACTAATTAAACAATTACTTTAAAGTCTCTTCCTATTGCCCTCCAGGCTCATTCCAATCGGAAGTGGAATACAGGGCTGGAGCTGCTAGGGAAAACCCTCTCCCAACTATAAGAAGCCCTCCTCCTCTTCCCCCACTTCTTACCTGGCCAGGCTCACTCTTCCAGGTGCCCAGTCCAATCAGGGGCATCTTCTGCCCAGTATGCAGCACAGTATAGGAAGCCGCCATTGTCCCCTGAAACACAAATGGGAAGAGAAGTGGTGGAGGGTGCCACTGCTAAAGCACTCAACTACCCACTGGGCAAAACATGGGTGAGAAAAACGATACAGAGGCGGTAGACCACAAACATGTGATTGCATATACATGGCTTGGAGCAGAAGCAGCTGAGACAGGGTGCCCTAAATCAACCAAGCATTAGTTGATGAACAAACACTAACAGGACAATTAGCCTGGCTGCCCTTTCTCCTACCATGCTAAAGGTCTGTTAAAGAGCGCCAATGCCTAAAAAAAAAGGCAGTGGGGTAGATAGAAGTACCCAACCTTAACTAAATAAGGTCATGAGCAGTGTGAGCAAGGTAGAGGCCATTATGAGATAAAGCAAAACCAGGTGACAGAACAGGCCCAGAAAGATATCATTTTTTTGAGGATGAAATGAATGCGCCCAGGAGGTTGTAAGAACTACAAAGGCTCTGGGCCCCTCTCAGAAGTCTAATCAGTCATGATACTAGGCCTGAGTGGGACCTTACAAGGGAAGTACACCATTATTTGGATGAAAAAATAGGCTCAGAGAGGGAAGTTATTTGCCCCAAATCAACAACGAAGATGTGGCAGAGCAAAGAATCCAAGGAGGAACTAATGGAAATAGGCAAGTAAAAACAGTCCCATAGGGCCTCCCTGGTGGCGCAAGGGGTTAAGCACCGCACTATGAAGCAATCCACAGCCTCTGCAGCACGAGTTCGATCCCTGGCTGGCCAGAGAGCCACCACATGGCACAGCAGACCTCTCCTGGCTTGCCCGCTGCTCCCGTCAGAAGAGTGCTTTGGTCATTCTGCCTGTTCTGTTCCCCACTCTGTCTCTGCTGAATCCTCTCACCCCCCCGCATCTCTCGCCTGTACCCTAGCTCTTGTATACATAAATAAATAAATCTTTAAAAAAAAAAAAAAGGATCAGAGGATATTGGCTTTTAACAATGAGTTTAACTTCCCCAAGAGGGAAGGGGAAGTCTTTCCAGAATGGGGAACTAAACACAGGTCTTCAGGGCAATATGGTGAGCTACAGCTCGAAGAAAGCTTCCAAATGGGGAAAAAAAAAAACCAAAACTGGTGAAAGATTAGAGCATCCTCTTTAAAGAGCAAAGAAAATCAGAAGTCTCCAAATGGCCAAACAATATTCATCACTCAGCAAATTACTGCTGTTCCAGGTCTTGGCTAGACCCAAGAGACATATTCAAAAAGGGTCCTTGTCTCCTAGAATTTATGGTCAGGTAGAAGAGGGCAGATATCAGCATAATGTATAAGAGTTATGACCAAAATCTGTACAAGTGCGTTAAAAGAGTGATCTGGTTAGGACGGCTTCTTAAGAGGTGAAATCTCAGTTAAGTCTTAATGAACAGGAGGTACCCAAGAGAAAAGGATTAGGAATGCTCACCCCAAGAGCCTATAAATCAGAAACCAACTTTCCTCAAAACCACTTTTCCCCTTGATCTCATCAGTACTATAAATCCCCAGTTCTCTTGGGACTGATTTCATTGCCAGATCTACCACTATAAGTAAAACCTTTGTTTCCAAGTTCTGAAAGTACATCAAGAATATTATAGAGCAAGTAATAAGACAAATTGTATGTATAACCAACACACCAAAACTGTCTTTTCTAATACTATGTTACTGACCCAGGGAGAGAATTTTATGGTCTAATATATAATCTGATTATGGTAGCCACTTTATTCTGCTAAAATAAAAACAAAACCAAAACTGTTCAGTCTGGGCAGCAAACCACAAGTAACTGAGGGCAGTAGCTTTTATAACCAAACTTCCTAGGAATCAGGCAAGCATATCTGGACTTCACCAAAAGGAACTAGTCTGCCAACTGCCACTAGGATCTGTGGTTGGTTTCCTGGGTTTGATCTCCAAACAAGTGACTTGTTGGCCTCTCCCAGATTCCTCAGCACACACAGGAGGCCTCTGAAATTACATCTAGGCTGAGAACTTGAACAAAAGCCTAGCTGAAGGGGAAAAGGAAAAAGAAATTTGATTCTTGCTTTTCCCTTTCTTTTGCAGGTGAAACTGAAAACCAAAAGGACTAAGACTAGTGGGCAGGAATCATAGAGGTAAAAACACCTAACAAAAATCTGCAAAAACCAAGAGCCCTAAAGGCAAAGATGGAGGAGCCAGAAGGCAGGTATTTTTCTCTAGGATAGAAAGTCATCCTCTGCCAGCCCTAGACTTCATCTTCTGCCTGGGGCAACAGTTTTCCAGTGGAGTCCTGCATTAACAAACTCTGAGTTTGTCAGAAATCGCCTAGGTAGATCTCTGGCAGCACTCAGAAGAAATCTTCATGTTATCTTGGGAGCAGTTGCAGCTACAAAAGTCAGAAGCTAGATGTGTCGGGAGGAGAAATTCAGCACTCAGGTCTTATTATTCCCAACTCAGGGCCTAAGTTCCTTCTGGCTGGTGCTCAGTTTTCCCTTCTCAGACGAGGGTTCTATTATTGCTTCCTGGATGCAAGAAACTCAAAAACACAGGGGAAAAAAAAGTAGTATTTACAGGGGTGTTCCCTGGCTATGTGGGCCTTTCCTGTGCCTCCTGTAAATACTGGTGTCCCTCAGGGTTCTCTCCTCATTACCTAGTCAAGCTCATATCTCTTCAGTTATCACCTTTAAGTACTAATTCTTCACACTTCAGGTCTGTTTTTACACTCCCTCTGAACATCGATATAGTATATCACATAGGTATCTGAGGCTCAATATGTCCAAAACTGAGCTCATCAAATCCAGCAGCAGAGCACAGAGGAAAGGGTTCAAGTTTTGGGGTTGCACATAGTTTGAAGAGATACTACATCTAAAGCACTTAGCACAGTGCCTGACCTGTGATGTTCTTTCTGTATACTCTATCTTACCAGGGACACAAGGCATTGGATATCAGGTAATAAAACATACCAAACATGTTCACAATATAATCCGTGGGGTCTTAAGAAACATCTAAAGAAAGTAGTTCGGGGGCCTCCCCGGTGGCGCAGCGGTTGAGCGCTGGGTTGCGAAGCTGCCCGCAGTCTCTGCAGCGCCGGTTCGATCCCCGGCTGCTCCCCGGCCACCGGAGGAGGATCCCACATGGTGCGCAGACCTCACCTGCCGCCCGCTGCTCCCCTCAGCAGTGTACCTCGGTCCTTCTGCCTGCTCTGCTTCCCGCTCTGGCTCTGGTGAATTCTCTCACCCTCCCGCGCTTCTGACTGTACCCAGTGCTTGTATAAATAAATTAAATAAATAAAAATAAATCTAAAAAAAAAAAAACAACTTAAAAAAAAAGAAAGTAGTTCGGTTCATTTGAGGCATTTCTTAGTATTATCAGACAATGACAGGCTATGGGAGGAGAGTAAGTTTTTTGCACTTCTGAGAAGCCACATGGAAAACCACCTTAGGTATATAATGGAGACTCAGATTTGGTCTACTCAGCTGGGTTAAAAATCCTTTCAGTACTTTCAAATATTTAAAGATCCTTTTTGCTCTAAACTATAATGTAAAGCCTAAGAATGCACTAACATTTCACATTCTTCTTGATGTATGTAAAAACAATCCTGAACTATACTTCCTATATCTTTGTTCAGTCCATAGCTACCTCCACTGCTACTACTCTAGCTCTGATCATCCCTACCTGAACCACAGATCTATACTTCTAGTGTGGCCAGTCGCCCCACAATCTACTCACCAAATCTGACCATGTGACTCTGGCGCTCAAACTCTTTCCTAATCCTCAGGATAAAGTTCAGACTCCTTCGTAACACCCTTTATAACCTGGCTGCCATCTTCCTAATGTCTTCACCTCTTCCTTTAAGACTCTATGTTCCAAACTTTGTAAAACATTTCTAACCTCCAGGCCTCTGCACATTTTCCTTCCTCAAGTCCCACCCTTGCTGTATTAACTGCTGCCTGTCCTTCAGCTGGCACTTTAAACTTCTGGGCCTGCCATGTATTGATAGCTGTGCACATAGCTGCAAAAGTCTGTTTATACGTTTCCTTCACAAAGTTGGTTATTCCCTGAAGTGAGGATTTGTCATCTATCTGAACTCCTCACTCTCAGAATGCCTGCCTGTACACACACACACACACACACACACACACACACACACACACACACACACACAGAGGCCAACAAGGGAGACAGCTGGAGGGGCTTTTGAGGAAGTCATTGTTTCCATCATATCTTCCTTTACTTCTTGGGAAACCAGGAAAGAATCACCTCTGGAAAATATCAAAGCACTTTACCATCTTCGGGAAAAAATAAATAAATCCAGTGGCTCCAGGCAGGAAACCACGATTGCTCCTGTATTACAGATGCAAAAACAGACATGAAGGAAGTAACAGGCCCGATCAGAACCATCAAGGCCCTTCTAAAAGAGGTCCCGCATTCCTGAGTTCGAACAGGCTAAAGGGAAGAGTCAATAGAAGCCCCAACCCCTGACGGTTCAGATTTGACTCTCGCTTAACGGAGCTTTGAGGCAACATCTCTGGTTTTCTCAAACCCAAGCCAGATGCCTAAAATAAGCGAATATCTATTTATTATGTGTCGTCAGCTTTAAAAGCTTTATCTCAGTTAGTTCTCACTGCAGTTCTGATCTGGGGGGGAAAAAATCATTTTACCGCTGAGGAAAGTGAAGTCCAGAGAAACGGAGAACTTATGTAAGATCACACAGCAGAGAGGAGAAAGTGATCAAATCCGAAAACAAACCTGGCCTCCGGCAAAACCTGCGCTCCACTCTATCTGGGGGCGGACTCTGTAAAGAGGGATCAAGGGCACATCCTTTGTGAGAAAGGTGGGCAGCAGCAGGAAAAACTCACCTGTGCACGAGCACAGAGCGTGAACAGAGTGCAATGCTCCCGGCTCAGGTGTGCGCGCTGTCAGCCACCCAGTGGGCCTGAGCTTGCAGCGTCGGTGGGCTGCGAGGGAAGTCGTCGCGTGGAGGGAGGCAGGACCTGCCTACGTCCGGCGGTGAAGAGGAAGCGCCTCCCACAGGAGGGGCGGGGAGCTGGTCATTCATCTACGCGTGAATAAGTGGATCCCGCCCTTGGCCTCCGCGACGGAGCTGGTAGGCGAGCAGGAAGCGGAGCTGGGAGGCAGCACCGGCCCCTCCCCTGGGCGCGCGTGGGCTGATTGGCCAGAACGCCGACACGCTGCCCCGCACGCTGAGGAGACCCCGCCCACAGGGGGAAAGGCCGCGCCGGGGGCCACGTCAGGAGCGGGGGGCGGGGCCTGTCGGCCTGGCCCATATTGCACCGCGCGGAGGCCTCACCGCCTCTCCGCTCCCGGCCGCCTCTGGCCGGTTTCGGCTCCCCCGGAGGGAGGAGGGCGGGGTTCTGGATGCAGTTTCGCTGCTTCTCTAGTCACCTGTCCCGCCGGATTCACAACCTCACCTGACTCTCCACTTTCTCCTGTAGAGGCGGGTTGCCCCAGAATTTACCTAAGCTCACCCCGTTATTTAGTCAGGGAAAATGAGGCCCAGAGAGGAGCCATTGTATAAAGATTGAGCATGAAAGGAAAACCTTGGGTCTCCAGACTCCAGAAACAGGAAGGTCCATCTGTACTGTGGGCCCCGGCCTTGAACATACGTGCCAGGCACTGCTAAACTTAACAAATATGCTTTTATTGGATCTTCACCACAACCCTGTAAGGGGAATTTTTTTTTAAGATTTATTTATTTATGCATGCATGCAAGAGCTGGGGTACAGGCCATAAGTGTGGGGGGTGAGAGGCTTCACCAGACACAGAGTGGGGAGCAGAACAGGCAGACCGACTGAAATACACTGCTGAGGGGAGCAGCAGGTGAGACAGGAGAGGTCTGGTGGGCCATGTGGGTTGCTCCCTGGCCAGCAGGGGGATCTCTGGTACTGGCTGCAGATAGCTTCATAGTGCTGTGCTTAACTCCTTGCACCACCAGGGATGTCCTAAGGGTAATATCCTTTTTAAATTATTTCTTTTAAGCCTTTTATTGAAGCATACATGCAGAAAATACACAAATCTTAGATGTACAGTTCTGATAAATGTCTTCTTTTTACAGTATGAGTACTTTACAAGTGAAGATAAAGACGCTGTCAGCACACTGGAAAACTGAAGGAGGCATCCGTGTTCCATTTTACAGATTGGATAAACTCAGCAAGGTAAAATAACTTGCCAAAGTCACACAGCTATTAAATTACAGATGTGAAATTTGAAATAACCATTGTGTAAGCAACAAAACCAAACAGGGTCTTTTGCTCCCTGTCCTGAACCATGAGAATGTCTTTTCACAAAGGAGTTTTTATTTGCAGTGCCCACCAAAGGAGTTGGCTTTGACATTCTAAAAGGAGTTGGCAGGAGAATGCTACAATTATATAAAGGGGCAAGAAATGAGAGGAAGTGCAGGAAGAGAAGGAAATAAAGGCTTATTTTTAGGTCCAAGAAGGTCCCACACAGTCTAGGCATCAAGAGTCAAGGTGTTTGGCTTTCTCAGCAGGGAGTGTTTCTCTGCATTGTTTCCCAGGTTACTGTCAACCTCATAGAGGCACAGAGAATTTTTGCTAGATATATAATATACAATAAATTTTCCAAGTTCCCTGGAATTGCAGTTGGAGAGAAATGTATTAGTTATGAATTAAGGGTAAATTATGAGGGGGTAGAGGAAAGAAAGAACAAAGGGTGGTCAGAACTTAATTCCATTTGTCCAAATTTTTAAGTCAAGAGAGGTTTTTTTGTTATAAAATGGGGAGGGGAGAAGTGGGGGGTTATTGTGGGGAGAAGATCAGGGTGAGGCCAGAGGCACAGGTATGAAAGAATTCACCAGAGACAGTGGAGAACAGAACAGGTAGATTTATTGAAATACACTGCTAAAGGAAGCAACATGTGAGACAGAAGTCTTTGCCAAGGAGGATTTGAGGCTCTCTTTTATACTCTGTTTTCACAGACTTTCTAACTTGGGGGGCCCGTTTGCACCAGTTATCTGCTGGAATATCTGATCTCTGGTACTGGCCTTTGACACAGAAACATGTTCTGGCCTTGGCTTCTGCATTCCTGGAGCTGGGCTGGTTCTTCTTTCTTATCTATTCCAGCCTCCCAAACCTGCCTGCTGGGTCAGGAGTGGGGCTTAGTTTTTAACCTCATTTAATTGTACCCAACAGGGGCATGGTGGCATGGTACCATGTGGGTGGAGAGGTGTCTTGCACTTAGGTGTTTTCTTCAGAGGGAGTCGGCAAGAAGTAAGGTTATTCCTCCCATTGTAGCTCTGCCTTTCTCTCTCCTCACTTTTGTCTGCCTACCTCTCTACTCCCTCAGCAATGCTCTTCTTTTTACCCTCTGGATTACTTCCTCCCCACGGACTCCCCAGGACAAATGATGCCCTGATGGGCCAAAATGCACAATGTTTGACCATCTAGTCTTACAAAGACATTCAGATTCCAACTTAGGTGATCAGGGGCCCTCAAACTCATCTTAGCCTGCAAGGAATTACCATCAAGAGAAACATACTCTAAGGGAGAAGGGGGTAGGTGGGTGGGGAGAGGATGTGGAGCTAGGGGGCCTCCCTTCCCCTTCTCCACTTTCACCTGGTTCCTCATCCCTGGGGCCATTTGTTAAAAAAGAATAATAAAAAAATTTGAAAGAGAGAGACAGAAATATGCTATGTATCCCATCCCTCTCACTATCTTCTGCAGCATCTGGTGGACTCCCTCTGCTGATAAGTCTGACTTCTTAGAAGTCTGAAGTGCAACAATCAGGTGGTGACCTTGCCAATGAACTGCTGAGTCATTGTTGTAACCCAGCTCCCTCCTCCCAAGCTCTGAGGCTTTAGGTCTTAGTTCTGGACACCAGAAGTATTGCTTTCTGGAGCCGGGCTGGTTCTTCTGGGCGAAGTTTTCAGAGAATATTTATAAAAGAATGGTTTGAGAGGGCCGCCCCGGTGGTGCGGCAGTTGCGCACTGGGTTGTGAGGTTGCCCGCAGCCTCTGCAGCGCCGGTTCAATCTCTGGCTGCTCCCCGGCTACCGGAGGAGGATCCCACATGGGGCGCAGACCTCTCCTGCCGCCCACTGCTCCCCTCAGCAGTGTACTTCGGTCCTTCTGCCTGCTCTGCTCCCCGCTCTGGCTCTGGTGAGTTCTCTCACCCTCCCGCGCTTCTGACTGTACCCAGTGCTTGTATAAATAAATCTTTAAAAAACAAAACAAACAAACAAAAAAAAACACCGTGCTTAAAAAAAAAAAAAAAAAAAAAAAAGAATGGTTTGAGAACCCATTACCCCTTTCAGGATCATCCTCCCATTTTACAAAAATAAGCTTGTGAGCCAGCTTCTATGGTGTTGTACCAAAGTTAAAAGCCATTAAGCCACTAAACAAAGGGACTTTGGAAATACTTATGACTCTGTTGACTGGATCATAAAACCTTATGCAAGTCATTTCCAATTCTTTGTTTTGAAAACTATTGGGAACTTACTCTTCCATCCTGTAACCTATACAGGTATATACCCACTATGCAGGGGGTAAGAGGATTCACCAGAGACAGAGTGGGGAGCAGAACAGGCAGATTTACTGAGATACATTGCTGAGGGGAGCAGCAGGTGAGACAGGAGAGGTCTGCTGGGCCATGTGGTTTAGCTCCTTGGCCAGGGATCTAACTCCAGTTGCAATGGCTGCCTACAGCTTCACAGTGCTGAGACTTAGCTCCTTAGGCCACCCCAATTCTTCTATGCAAAAATAAATTTTTAAAAATTAAAAAAATTATTATAAAAATATATCATTAATATAATAGATGAGGTTTTTTTTTTTTTTTTTTTGTGTAGAGTGCAGACAGGAGGTGCAGGGATGAGAGGATTCACCAGAGACAGAGTGGGGAGCAGAACAGGCAGATCTACTGAAATATACTGCTAAAGGGAACAGTGGGTGAGACTGGAGAGGCCTGCTGTGCCATATGTGGCTTATAGCTTCCTGGCTGGGGATCAAACTCAGGCCTTAGCAGTGATAATGCTGAGATTTAACCCTTAGACCACCAAGGAGGCCCTCCAAGCAATTTTAATTCAAAATAGTCAATATCCCACTCCATACATATTGGGGGAGTGGCTCGCACCCCAACATTATCAGTACAAAAATTAAAAATAAGAACTAGGGCCTCCTTTGTAGCACAAAGGATTAAGTTGCAGCACTATGAAGCTATCCACAGCCACTGCATCATGTCACTAGTTTGATCCCAGGTCGGCCAGGGAGCTAACTGACATGGCACAGCAGACCTCTCCTGTCTCTCCCACTCTTCCCCTCAGCAGTGTATTTCAGTAAATCTGCCTATTTTGCTTCCCACTCTGTCTCTGATGAATCCTCTCACCCCCCGCATCTCTGGCCTGTACCCCAGCTCTTGTATGCATATATAAATAAATCTTTTTAAAAAACAAACAAGAATGAAATTGATGTTAAATTCCATCCTTTTGATGTTACATAAATTAACCCATTTATTTTGAGCTAGCAATGTTTCAAGTAGTAGAGCATTTACTGGTCTTTCAGTTCCTTCAGTCGTCTACCAGCAGCCTTTACTGTGATGGCAAAAGTGGTGGTGTAAGTCCAGTTATCACCAGTTACCGTTTCTTCTGTGGTTGTCACAGAAGAGGCAAGTATACTTGGCTTGCTGGCCGATCAGTTTTCTTCAGTATTTTCCAGAGGGAGACACCATACCAGGTTCCACATTCACTGATAGTTCTTACCTTCTTGGTACATTTTCCAGGTTGCCAAAAACTAGGTACAAGCCCAACAAAGCTGAATTGTGTCCATTCTATTGTTGGGACACTAAGGAAATCATCCTGTGCACCTTGTGCTACAGTGCCTGTGGATAGCTTCATAGTTTGCGTCTTAACCCCTGCGCCACCAGGGAGGCCCAAAAGAGAATAACATTTAACAATTTCAAGCATAAGAATATATCATATTGGGGACTCCCTGGTGGCACAGGCGGTTGAGCACAGTGCTGTGAAGCTGTCCTCAGCCTCTGTAGCGCTAGTTCAATCCTGGCCAGCCAGCGAGGGTTCCACATGGTGTGGCAGACCTCTTCTGTCTCACCAGCCACTCCCCTCAGCAGTGTATTTTGTCAGTCTACCTGTTCTGTTCCCCACTTTGTCTCTGGTGAATCCTCTCACCCTGCCGTGCATCTGGCCTGTACCCCAGTTCTTGTGTAAATAAATAAATAAATCTTTTAAAAAAAAAGAATATATCATATTAAGATGATAATCTCTAGGGAAGTAGAATGGAAAACAAATTCAAGGAGAAAAATGAATAATACTACTAACAATTATTAAAAAGAACTTATTTTTTTTATTTTTTTAATAATAAATTTTATTTTTATATTCCCCATACAATTGCAACCCCACCATTCTGACCCTAATCCCTCCCCTCCTGCCCCCCACCCCCCAAAGAGTGTCTCTGATTCATAGTTTTTTGTTGATTTTGATTTTTACTTTCTTATAGTTATTCATTTTCCTGGTCCCTTATTTAAGTTTTCTAGATTCCTACTATGAGTGAGACCATCCGGTATTTTTCTTTTTCTTTCTGGCTTATTTCGCTAAGCATGATCCCTTCCAGCGCCATCCATGTTGCTGCAAATTGCATGTGTTTATTTTTTTTGAATGCTGAGTAATATTCCATGGTATATATGTACCACATCTTCTTGATCCAGTCATCTGTTTTTGGGCATTTGGGCTGTTTCCAAAGCTTAGCTATTGTAAACAGTGCTGCTATAAACATAGGGGTGCAGGTGCTCTTTGGAATTGATGTTTCTGTCCTTTGGGTAAATACCTAGGAGTGGAATTGCTGGATCATATGGAAGCTCTATCTTTAGTAGGTCCAGAAATCTCCACACAGCTCTTCATAGTAGTTGGACCAGTTTGCACTCCCACCAACAGTGCAGAAGAGTTCCTTTTTCTCCACACCCTCGCCAACATTTGTTGTTGCTAGTTTTTTTAATATGTGCCATTCTCACTGGTGTAAGATGGTATCTCATGGTAGTTTTGATTTGCATTTCCCTGATTACAAGTGATGTTGAACATTTTTTCATATGCCTGTTGGCCATTTGCATTTCCTCTTCAGAGAAGTTTCTTTTTAGCTCTTCTGCCCATTTTTTGACTGGATTATTTTCTTTGTTGTTGTTGACTCTCATCA